AATTTTTTTTTTTTTTTTTTTAAAAATTATTTTTTTTTTTTTTTTTTTTTTTTTTTTTTTTTTTTTCTAAGAAATTACTTTTTTGTTCTTTATTTTATTTTAATATAATTTCGTTCCTAATTAATTTTTTTTTTTTTTGACTTTTGTTAATATTTTTTATACATTTTTGTATTATTATTTTTTTTTTTTTTTTTGCTATAGTTCATTAGTAGTTATTGAATCATTTCCTATATTTATTAAAAGGTCTTCACTTTCTATCTGATTTTTTGAAGTTATTTTCTTAATAAAAGTATATAATTTAAAAGATGTCCCTCCAATATAAAATAATATTGAAATTATAAATTTAATTATCTATAAAAAAAAAATTAGAAAAAAACAAATAGTAATTACCTTCTTTAAAGTTTATTATAATTACTTATATGTATATATATATATATATATATATATATATATATATATATATATATATATTTATTTACTGCTATTATAGCTCTTATGAAACCCAATCTTCTTAAGATAATATAAATGCAAACACTTAAAAAGAAAAAAAAGGAATACCAGACATATCTTGTATCATTCTCTGCTCTATTAATAAGTGGAGTATAAAATAATATTATTAATAAAAAAATAAAAGATATAAATAAAAGAAGATATAATTATAAATAAATATTTATTATCTTATATTTATTTAATAAAAATATACTTTTTTTTTAAGGAAAATATTAATTGAGCACTAGACTTTAATTTCATTTCAAAAGCTAACATAAAGAAAAAATTCATTTTATATTTTAATTTAAATTTTATTTATTTATTATTATAAAATTATTTAATAAAAAATATATATATATATATATATTTTCCATTTTTACAATTGAATATTTCATCCTGTTTTTTTAATTTTTGAGAAGAATCTAATAGTTCTGACTTTACGTTTTTCATTCTATTAACTTCATCTATCATCATTTTTCTTGTGTCTTTTAAATTTATATTGTACATATCTTTATTTTTTTCTTCATTATTTTCAATATAATTATTACTAAAAATATATATATATATATATATATATATATAATATATATGTGTGTTATTTAAAATTTTTTATGTAAAAAATAATCTTAATTTACCTTATTTTTTTTTTTAAAAAAAGTTTCATACATAATCGATGATAATCCTTTTCCCAAGTATTCCACCATAAACTTAATTTTTTCTTATAACTTAATAAAAAATAGAAAAAATTTATAAAATATATATTTTAAATTTAGAAGGTATAAAACTAATAATTTTTTCTTACTTTTCTATATTTTTTAAATGATATTCATATTCTTCTTTAACGTTTTTTTCAATATTTTCTAAACAAATTATTTTGTTAAATTGCGATATTGTATTTGAATAATCAATAATTCTCCTAGATACTTTAGAGCGAAACTACAAATTTATAAAAATAATATATGTTTATTTATATAAACTTTATTCATTTTTTTTTTTTTTTATTCAATTCTACTTTAAATATTTTTTATTATTCATTTATACTTTGAATATTTTTTATTATTCAAATTATTTTAAATATATATATATAATAAGAGAAGAAAATTTTATTAATTTGTATTGTTTATTGAATTTATAATAGATTACTGGAAAAAGATAATCTTTTTTTTTTATTTAAATTATATACATAATTTATTATTATTTAGACTTACTAACAAAAAAGAGTCATGATCATTCAAACCTTCCTCAGATAAAAATAAATTTTTAAGATTATCATCAACCAGTTTCATTTGATTTATTAATGTATTTATTTTATTAAAATTATCTACATTTTTATTTTTTTTTACAAAGTTTGATACAATATTTTCATTCATTTTTTTTAAAATTATAGTTTTATCTCATCTTTTTTAAAAATACTTTAAACTTGTTCAATTATATTAAAAATATAAGAAATTTTTTTTTCTTTTTTTATTTTACTAAAATGTACTATAAGATGTGCAAAACTGTTCAAAGTTAATTCTTGTTTTTTTATTCATACTTATAAATACAATAGTTAATTTTTTTTTTTTTTGTGCTTTTTAATCATACCATTAAATTTTTAATTTTAATACATTTTTATGATTAAAATAAATTTTATCTTATAATAGAAATATAAAGTATTAATAGAATAATAATAAAAAAGTTTCAAAAAAAAAAAAAAAAAAAAAATAAAATGTTTTACAATTGTTCTTTTAGCTCATATATATAATAAAACAGAAAAAAAATGAATTTCATAATTTTTCATGTAAGGTTTTTTTGTGTAAAATCATAGGTTATAATTTTATATTTTATAAAAAAATAAAATAAAGAAAAAAGTTTAAAATTTTGAACTAAATTTATTTTTACTACTTACTAAAAAAAAAAAAAAATAAAAAGTTTACAGATAAAAAAAAAAAAAAAAAGACATAAAAATAAATAATTATAATCAATTTATATAATGTTATTAATCATGAAAAAAGAAAAATTACATATAAATAAATATAAATAAAAGATAAAGATATTTTACTTTTTAATACAAATATATAAAATATTATTTCTTTTATTTATTTTCTTGTGTATATAATTTAAAAATATAAATATATATTAATAAAATAAAACAACTGTTTCTAAAAAATTTTTTATAAAAGTAAAATTTTTTTTAAAAAAATTTTCTTAAATGTAAACAAAATTAACTGTATGAATGTAAATAATTTTAAGTATTAAAAAAAATTCCAAGATAAATATAACAATATTTTCACGTAATTCAATTTAAAAAATATATTATAAAACTTTTTATATTTTTTTATTTTTAAATTTTCCTAACTAGTAATTATGTTTTAGGGATATTAACGAAAGTTATACTTTTTTTTGAATATTTTTATGTTTTAATTTTTATGTTCATTTTCTTATATATACTTTTTTTTAAGTTATAAAAAGAAAATGTATTTTACTTCACGTCTTTGGTATTTTTATTGTTTGCAGTTTTTTGTGTTGTATTGTTTTTATTATAATTTTGAGGAAAATTTAAATTATTATCTTTTTTTTTACTTTTAAAATTAAAATTATCAAAATTCAATAAATTTTCTAAATAAAATAATATTCTTTTTTGTACATAAACGTATTTACTTAAACAAAAGATATAATTATCTTTATTTACTAATGGATCAATAATATCTTCAAAATGAAAAATTGTTTTGTTGTTTTGTTGATTAGTATAATTTATGAATTCACAATTTTTATTTCTATTAATTAATTCAGAATTATTTATTATATTTACTTTTTCATTGCTCAAAAAACTTCCTTCATTTTTCTTGTCTTCCAACGTTTTGGTAAATTTATCCATATCTATTATATTATTTTTGGTATCATTTTTATTATTAAATTGTTCATCCATTTTAAAAAATAAAAAATTAGAAGATTTTGTATCATTTTTATTAATATCATCATTTATATTACTTTTTTTATTATCTTCATAAATACTCTTATAATTAAATGACTGATCTAATAATTGCATCTTTAATGACTGTGTATTATTTTCATCAAAAAAACCATCTTCATTATTATTAAATATATGAGAATCGGCATTTTTTATTTTTTCTTTATTTACATTTAATTTTAAGGGTACATTATTACCTGAAATATAATTATATACATCGTCTTCATAATTTTTTTTTAAATTTAATGAAGCTTCTACAAAATCATTAAAAGTATAGGATAAATCACAATAATTTATATCATTATTATTTATATCATCAACATATTTTCTATCTATCCACATTCTATTACTTCTTCCTCTTCTTTTAATTAAAACTATATTTTTATATTCATTGGGGTTAACCTTAAGAATATTCATTTGTTCATTTTTTCCGTAATTCTTTAATTTTTTATTTATTTTTTTATTATGCAAAGAATTGCTATTAATATTATTGTATAAATTTTTATAAAATTTATCTTTTTTAAATTTTTTATAAATCTTTTCTATCTTATAATCTTTGAAATAATTCCACATAGGACAAATATATGTTTTATCTTTGATTTCATTTTTTCTCTGATCAAATAAAATGGCATTTAATTGCAACAATAACAATTTTTTCTCATCTCTTTGTTTAATTTTTCTTAAAATTTTATCTAACTTTTTAAAATCATCAATAAGTTTATGCATCTTTATTATAACATCAAAATTCTTTTTCTTATGTTTTCTTAATGTCATTTTTTCTTTTACTCTAGGTCTAAAAACAGAATAGTGTGGCAAACTATTCTGAGAATTATTCCAGAACATTCGGAGTAATGGTCTCCCTAATTTTTTTCTTTTATTTTTCCAATACGAATAGATATCTTTTATAACATTACTTTTATATGTTATTTTTAATTCGCTTGCTACTTTTAAAGCATCTTTAAAATTTATTTCTTCTTTATTATCTGATTTCCCTGTTAATTTTTCAAACTTATCAATTAATTTACTAAAATCTTCATCATTTACCTCAATATTTAAATAAGAATTTAAGTTTTGTAAAAATATTTCATCTTCTTTCAATAAATCGTAATGAATTATCGTACCATCACTTAATTTTATTCCAGTTACTTGATCTCTATATAATTCATATCTAATATAATGAGATGGTTTTTCAAATTTACTCAGTCTATAATTATCATCATCACATATTTTAAATCTTGGTATCACAATATTCTTTTTTTTTTTTTCTATTTTTGTTTCATTATTTTCTAATAATGATTTTAATTGTGCAATATCTTCATTAGATGGATTATCTTTTTTTGTTAACTTTTTTAAATCTTCACCTGACTTAATTACTAGCAGTTTTTTATTTATATCTATTGGCTTACATTTCAAATTTTTTTGTTGATTATTTAACCCTTTTGTCATTTCAAAAAGTATAATATAAAAAAACCTATTTATATATATTATAAATTTTTTTTTCGTTTTTTTTTTTTTTTTTATAAATATATATATATATATATATATATATATATATTTATATCATATATATATTTATATCATATAAATCTAAGAATATCTTTAAAAACGTGCCATAATGTATCGGAAATCTAGATTATTAATTTCTTTATGTTATTTTAATTTTTATCAATAAAAACATAAAATTATTTTTAATTGTGACACTTGTCAAATTTATATAAACGAACTTATTTTATGTTTTTTCATAGTGTTTTCATAATGTTTTGTTAACATGCATCTGAAAAAAAATAAATATCATTTTTTTATATATATTCAGATATAATGATATTTAACTTTATTTAAAAAGTAGAATTTTATATATACATTATAAGTATATTTTTTTTAAATAAATTTTTATATAGGTTATTATTTAAAATATAAGAATTAAATTTAAAGGCTTTAAAAATAGTCAATGTTTTAAATTAATATATTAAAATTTATCTATTATTTCAACTTAAAATTATTTGATCTTGTTAATTTATTAGAATATTTATATTTCTTCTATATAATTAATATTTTAATAAAAATGAAAAATAAATTTAATAAAAAAAAGTAAAGACAGTTACACTTTTTTATAAAAAAGTAAGAAATAATTATATAAATTTATATATATGTATATATTTTCTATCTATTATTATTATTATTTTTTTTTTTTTTTCTATGCATTTTTGTTCTATCTTCATTTATAATAATGATAAATATATAATTATAAATAAAAATATAATTTAATATGATAAATAATGAAAATATTTCTTTCTAATTATCTATGATTTTTATATAAATATGAGATAAATGAAATTAATTAACATTATTTATCACATTTTAAAAAGGGAAGATGGTTCCCTTTTTTAAGATAAAAACATATGTACATATTTTTTCTTTTTAGTACTGTATATTTATATATAATATATTAAATATATGCATATTTATATATAATAAATATTGTAAATTTTAAATGTTATAATTCTTTAAAGTAAATACTTTTTTTTTTAAATTTAATGAACATTTTTATATTTAATTCAAATATCTTTTTTCTTCAATTTTCTTTTAATTACTATATATTATATTATTTTTCAGAAAACATTTTCCTTTCTTAATTATTAATATATAGAATTAATTTAGTATTTTATTGTTTTTAATATTTAAAATTTAATTTTTATATTCATTTTTTCATTTTTTTTTTTTTTTTTTTTTTTTTTTTTTTTTGCATTAACTCAACCTTGCACGCAAATATAAAGAATTCTCTCTCTATATATTTTTTTATTTTAATTATATTTTTACTCTATAATATTATAAAAAATCAAATTTTGAAATAATAATTCAAATATCTTAAAGTTATAAATATATGAAATATAAATTTTTTTTCAATGATTTTAAATGATATACGGCATGCTCAATTTATGATTTCTTCTTCCCATATACATTTTTTTTTTTTTAAATTTATCTAAGAGTTAATTAATCATAAAATTTGAAATACTGAATTATTTAATTATACAATTTTATTTATTTTATATAATAATTTTTACATATAAGAATAACATGAAAATTTATTGTAAGATTCCTATATACTTTTTAGATCAAGTTTGTATATCCATTAATTATTACAAAAAAAAAAAAAAAGAAAATTTTGTCATTACGAAGTATTAATAAAGTTTTGTTTTCTTTTTGACGCCATTATTCTTAAGAAATTTCATTAAAACATTTCAAAATGCGTATGTATTACTATTCTCATATATTTAAAATGTAAAAAAATATAAATCCATACATCTGAAATTTTATAATATGGAAAATCATAAAATATTTAAAAATATCATAGTTCTTGTTCTTGCATCCATATTATATATATATATATATTATTTCTTCTGTTATTCTCTACACATGTTATAATTTTTTTTTTAATCGATTTAATTTGAGTTCTTTATATGATATATTACTGCATTTATATCTCTTGAATTTAGTTTTTAAAAATATTTCTTTTATTAGTTCAGAAAATCATAATTAGCACTTTTTAGTTTTACATCTTTATACATTCAATATTTTTTTTTTTTTTTATAAAAATAGAAATAAAATGTAAAAAGTTTTTATATATAAATGAAATACATGAATTGAAGATATGTTTATTACATTAGAATTACAAACTAAAAATGAAACAAATTAAAAAAATATTTTTTCTAAATATATTTATAATTTTATTTGTAGTATATATATAAATATATAAAAGATAAAATCAAAATGAAATAAATTAATTTATATAATTTTCTCTCATATTGTAGTCTATATATTAAATAAAATATCTGATTGTATTAAATTTTTAGTTACAAAAAAATATTAACTAGATAAAAATTTACTTAATTTTTATTCATTTCACGAATAGCTATATCTCATTAAAAAAATGTAAGTGGTATTTGTTTAATAGAATCAAAAAGTTAACTATAAAAAGAAATATTTTCTTATAATAAATATATACAAAATAAATATAAATAAAAAATAAAATATATTCCATGTAACATTTAGAAACATTTAACATATTGTCTTCACAAAAAAAAAAATTTTTTATGTAAATATTATTTTCATTTTAATAAGAATGTAAAATTTTTTTTAATCGTTGTTTTTTTCATTTTTTCATAATAAATTTAACAATAGTATTATCAAACTTACTTTTTTTTAATATTTTATTTCTTTTATATTTTTTCATTATTTTTTTTTTTGTTTTATTATCTTTTCTTCTTTTCAAAGTCACTATTAGATAAAGAAACTACTTTTAAAAAAAATAGTTAAAAAAAAAAAATTTTTAGTATTATTTTGTTTTCGATAAATAAGAAGCAATAAATATGTAATTATCTAAGAAAAAAAAAAAAAAAAAATAAAATAAAATAAAAGTAGGTACTTTTATTATTAAAAAATATATATTTCTACAGTTAATATATATTTAAAAAAAAAAAAAAAAAAAAAAAAAAAAATTCTTAAAATAATTGAAATTAATTTGAATAATTTATTTAAATCTTAAATAAGTCTAAAAATGCATAAAAAATAAAATTAGAATTATGAAAAAAAAAATGGATAAGGAATTTCAAAATGAAAAGGATGAATTAACTTTAAAGAAAAGAAAAAAAGAAGAAGGAAATATAAATGATATAGAAAATTATGTAAATAAAGAGATAAATTATATAAATACGGATAAAAATGATAATATCAGTGATTTGAATAATAAGAAAAATAGTGTCAATATAATAAATAATGATTTAAATGATGAAGTAAAAAACATAAATTTAAGTAGGAATAGAGGTAAGATTTGTCCTTATCTACGTACAATTAATAGAAATTTACTAGATTTCGATTTTGAAAAATTATGTAGTATTAGTTTGTCAAATTTACATGTATATGCTTGTTTAGTTTGCGGTTTATATTTTCAAGGAATTGGAAAAGGAACATATGCATATATTCATGCTTTAGAAAAAAGTCATTATGTTTTTATTAATTTAGAATCATGCAAAACATGCTGTATACCAGAAAATTATGAAATTGAAGATGCTTCATTAAATGATATAAAATATTTTTTAAAACCTATTTATACAAGGGAGCAAGTTGAATATCTATGCTTTAATCCTATTTTAGGAAAATCATTAGATGGTGCAGATTTTTTACCAGGTTGTGTTGGTTTAAATAATTTAAAAAATACTGACTATTGTAATGTAATCATTCAATTATTATGTACTATTATACCTGTACGAAATATTTTATTATTACATGAAAATAAAACAAATTTAGCGAAGAATTTAATTATCGTCTTATCTGAATTAATTAAAAAAATTTACAACCCTAAAAATTTTAAAGGAGTTGTATCTCCTCATGAATTTTTACAAGCAGTTGGTATAGAATCTAAAAAAAATTTTAAGATAGGAACAAAAAATGATCCTCTAGATTTCTTTTTATGGGTTATTAATAAAATTCATAAATATTCAGAGAAAACACTGAAGAAAAAAAAAAAAGATAAGAATCATAAAAATATGAAAATAAAAGAAATTTCCAAAAAAAAAATAATGGAAAAAAATAATAACCTTAAAAATGAGGAAAAAGAATCAAGCAATGAAAATAATTTTATGCAGAATGATAGTAATAACAATGATAATCATGTAGAAAAAAAAAAAAAAAAGTGGGTATATGAAAAAATAAACATCATTGATTATTGTTTCGATGGAGAACTAATTATTAAAACTAAAAGAGAAAGCTCAGAAATGGATAATGTAGAAGAAACTGATCAAAAACAAAAAGTAAATGAAGGGGAAACACATGAAGAAAGAAAAAATAATGATAACAAACTAGAAGAAGAAATTGAAGAAGATGAGTTATATGAAAAAAAAAATTATAAAATCAAAAAAATTCCATTTCGTACTCTTTCCTTAAAATTACCAAATCCACCAATTTTTAAAAGTACAACAGAAAGTAATATTATACCTCAAGTTTCTATTTATGAGTTATTAACAAAATTTGATGGAGAAACAGAAACTTTTTTGTTTGATAAATCTGTACCAAGTACAATAATGATTTCTAAATTACCAAAATATTTAATTTTTACGATTAAAAGATTTTCAAAAAATAACTTTTTTGTTGAAAAAAATGGTACAATAGTAAATTTTGTAATTAAAAATTTAGATATGAAAGATTATATACATCAAGATTTTCTTAACCAAAATCCTGTTACAAAATATAACTTAATTGCAAATATTTTTCATAGTGGTACAGTAAATCAGGGTTCGTATAAAATTCATGTTTTAAATCAACCGACAAATGAATGGTATGAAATAGAAGATTTACATGTTATTTCAATTTTACCACAATTGGTTTTATTATCTGAATCTTGCATCCAACTATATCAACGACAAGATATCCAGTTAGATGGGGAAATAAATCAGAATTTTTAAAAAAAAAAAAAAAAAAAAACTGTTAATATATTTTTTAGCAATTTGTATTTTTTTTTTTTCTTTAAATTTTATTTTATATTAAATCATTAAGAAAAAATTATTTAATATTTTAAATTTTTTAACTTAAAATACTTAATGTATTGTCTATTTTATTTTTATATATTTATTTACTTTTTTTATTATTAAGTTTTAAAGTGCTAATTTTATACTATATTTGAAAGTATTCCATTTCAAAAATTTTAAATAAAATAAATAAAAAGAAAAAGTATTTTAATATAATATTATTTTTCTAATTATACGCAATGATTAAATTAAGGATATAAAAGGATTTATCATATATAAAAGGCTTAAATATGAATTTTTCATTTTTGTCATATGTTTTTATATAATAATATTATAATTGCTTTTAAAAATATAGTTTTTAAATAGTTTGAATGATAAAGTATATAGTGTAATAACACTAATATGAAAATTATTATATTTTCTTTTATAAAAATAAAAATAAAATATTATGTTCTTTATTTAATATGTAATATAATTTATCCTATTTAAAAAGATAAATTAATATATATATAAAATTACATAAAAACATACATAAATATATTAATAAATATTTTTTATTTAATAATTTTCTACTATAAAATGTGAAGAAATTATTGTCTTCAATAAAACTATGAAAAATAATAATAAAAAATAGAATAAGTTTACGCATTTAAGTATTACAAAATAATGATTAATTACAAAAGGATATATTAAGTATATACTTATGTAAATTAGCATTTGCAATTTTTTTTTACTTTTTTTTTTTCTAATTGACAAATATTGAAAATATATCTTTTTACGAAAAACTCTCAAAATACATACCATTATTTTTTTTTGTAATAATAATTAATTAAATACAGTGAAATAAAATAGAACAATTTAAAAAGATATAATGAAAAAATTATGAAGACGAATATTAATTTTTTTCTTCTTTTCAAAGACAAAATTAAAATCGTAGCATTTTTTTAAATTCATAAAAACTTCTTTTGTTAATTGAATACAAAGAAAAATATAATTAAAATATGTATTATATCTTTTAATGGGTTAACAAAATTATTGTTATTATTGTAATTTTTATTAACTTATTTTTTATTCTTAATAATTTATTAAATATATATAAGTTTTCTTGAAATTATAATATTTATTTTCTTTAAAAATGTCAAGAAAATTTCTTTTAAAGTTTTGTGCTTTAAATATGTTTACCTAAAAATAATTTATAAGAGAAATTTACATTGTGTGTTAATATAAGATTCATTTTTTTTTTTTTTTTTTTTTATTTAATTATTTTAAAGAAAAATATTTTTTTTTAATCCATCATTTTATTAAATCATTATTTTTTTCTTTTTTTTAAAACTTAATACTTTTACTTTCTTTTTTTTTTCTTTTTTATTTTTTTTAATCATTTTTTTTTTTTTTTTTTAATGCGTGAAATATGGGTACTCCTAGAAGAAGGGCGGGGCAAAATGCAAGCCCATTTGGATTAAGTTCTAATATTTTTGGGACAAATAATGAAATATTTGGAAGTAATTTTATGAATTCACCAATTTCAAGTAGGAGGACAAAAAATAGCAAAAGTTTTTTAAACAGTATGCTGAATGAATCCAAGTATTTGAATCAAAGCAATACTGGTTCTCAATTCATAAGATATGGTCATACTCCTCTAGCTATAAGAAGAATAAAATGTGCAAGAGCTGATATAGGAGATGTAGGAAGAGAAGCATTTATGGAAGATATCGAATCAGGAAGATTACCACACTTTATTGATAGTAACTTAGAACAAATTAAAGAACTTTTTAATCAATTTTTTGATGAATTTAACATTACTAATTATAGTGATGTACTACAATTTACTGATGAAGATCGTAGTATAACAGAATATATTTTGTTACATAGAGATAATTTAAAAGTTTATTTGGCATATTATGGATGGAAGATGATAAAATTTATTGAAACAGGTAGACAAAATGAATGTAAATTAAATAATGATAATGATGAAGATACTGATGGAGTAAAAAACTTAGAACATATAAAATCTTTTGAAGTAGATCTTACTCATATTTATTTTTTTAATAAAAAATTATATAAGTTAATAATTGAGTACCCATCTGACTGTATTAGTGAAATAGACAAAATAATAAGTGAAAAGTATAATTCTCTCTTGGGGTTAGTGTTAGAAGGAGATACAAAATCGAGCTCGTCTGACAAATATCCATTAAGTAGTGCAAAACAAGATTATTGTAGAGTAAGATTCTTTAACAAAAAACATAAAGATACTCCAAGAAAATTGGGACCTAATCAAATTGAAACGTTAGTCTGTGTAAAGGGTGTAATAATTAGATGCTCAAATATTATTCCAGAAATGACTATGGCAGCCTTTAAATGTACTTCTAAAAAAAGAGTAGGAGTTAATAATTATGAAAAATGTAATGAAGAAGTATATGAACACGTTATACAAGGGGAAGTTCAAGAACCAATGACATGTTCTAATTGCAATAATAAAAATACATTTGAGTTATGGCATAATAATTGCTGTTTCTCTTCAAAACAACTTATTAAATTAAGTGAAGTAACAGAACATTTAAAGCAAGGAGAAACTCCTCAGTCTATTTCAATATATGCATATGATGATTTAATAGATTATACAAAACCAGGAGACACTGTAGAATTAACAGGAATATTAAAAGCATCTCCTGTTCGTTTAAATCCAAGATCTAGGTGTTATAATAGTGTGCATAGAACTTATATAAATGTTATCCATATTAAGAAAGAAAACAAACAAAAAATGAAATTGACAGAGCAAAATGATACAGCCTCTATTATTTTAAAAAGAAATGAAGATGGTACCGTAGAAGAAAATTTTGAAAAATTGAATGAACAAGGTAATTTATTATTTACTACTGAAGTTATTCATAAGATGCAAAAATTGAGTAAAGATCCTAATATATATCAAAGATTAGCAGATTCAATAGCTCCATCTATATATGGAAGAGATGATATTAAAAAAGGGTTATTATGCCAGTTGTTTGGTGGAAGTAAAATTACTGATAAATTTAGAAATAAGTATAGATCAGAAATTCATATTTTATTATGTGGAGATCCATCTACTGCTAAGTCCCAGCTCTTACATTATGTTCATAAATTATCACCACGTGGTATTTACACAAGTGGAAAAGGTAGCAGTAGTGTTGGATTAACAGCATTTATATCAAAAGACTCTGAAACAAAAGAATACATTTTAGAATCAGGTGCAGTTGTTTTATCAGATAAAGGAATTTGTTGTATTGATGAATTTGACAAAATGGATGATTCTGCAAGAGCTATATTACATGAAGTAATGGAACAACAAACTGTGACTATTGCAAAAGCTGGTATTGTAGCTACTTTGAATGCAAGAACCTCTGTTTTAGCTTCAGCAAACCCTATTAACAGTAGATATGACAAAAATAAGGCTGTAGTTGAAAATATTAACTTACCACCATCACTATTTTCTAGATTTGATTTAATTTATCTTGTTATTGATCAAGCAAATGAGGAAGAGGATAAAAAATTGGCTACTGTTCTTTGTAAAAATTATTCTTACAATTTAGAAGATGAAGAAGAAGAGGAAGAGGAGGAGGAAGAAGAGGAAGAAGACACACAAAATAAAGAAAATAATTGGAATATTAGAGATAATATAAATCTTCCTTACTCCGATAATAATAATAGTTCAAATAAAAAAAAACCAAAAAATTACTTAATTGATTCGAATACATTAGCTCTATATATAGCATACTGTCGTATGACATGCAATCCAATAATATCACTCGAAAGCAAAAAAATTATTATTGAAGAATATATAAAAATGCGATGCAAAGAAGGAACAAAATCTCCAACTGCTAGTCCTAGACAATTAGAGGGATTAGTTAGACTAAGCCAGAGTTTAGCGAAAATGAAATTAAAAGATGTAGTAACACCAGAAGAAGCTAATGAAGCTGTAAGATTAATGAATATAGCTACTTTTCAAAGTTTAATTGATCCTTTAAGTGGTAGAATTGACTTTGATCAAGTTAATTTAGGACAAACATCACAACATAAGAAAAAATCTGATATGATCAAAGATATTATAATGAATGCACTCATTTTAAAAAATATGACAAAAGATGAATTACTTGCTCATTGTCAAGAAACTATTATGAATGATCCCGAATATACAACAGCATTAGATAGAAAATCTTTTGAAGAAGCTTTTCATGATCTTGAAAAATCACAAGATATTACTCGACTTTGTTCTGGTTTATATAAAAAAAAGTAGATTTTTACAATAAAATTGTAATTGAAACTATATTAAACTTATGCTTTTTAAAAATATATTACAAGAATGTAAATACTTATTATTTAAATCAACTTCAAAGGTATGACTATTTCATAGTCTTTTAAGATAGTATAAAAGATGATTTTTTTTTTTTTTTTTTTTTAAATATACTTCAATTATACAATTTTCTTTTTCAATTCTTGTATTTTATAAAAACGTATATATTTTATATTATTAATATATACCTCAAATATATAACCATCTTTTTTTTCTTTTAAATTTTACATATTTCAAATGTGTATATATGAATATGTTTTTTTTTTTATTTTTAAATAAATCTTATGTATGTAAGTACTTTTATTTTAAAATAACATATAATATGAATGTTTTTTTTTCACATTATTTTATTTTATATATATATATATATATATATATTATTTTTTATCTCTCATTTGTAAATATAAACTAAGATTTTTATCATGAAATTATAAATTTAAGGAAATATCATTTAGTAATTTTACAACCTTCCATTTAATAAAATTAGAAAAAAAAAAATATAAGTAAAATTACAATATAATTTTCATATATTGCATGCCTTCACTTTTAAAAAATTGTAGCATTCAAAATTTGAAATATTTTGAGAATAATTTTTATTCCTAAAAAATTGTTTAATGAATATTTACCGAATCATAATTTTATATTGTTTATTTAAAACTTAATATATTTTTTAAATGATAAGTAGTAAAAAAAAATACATTATAGAATATTAAATTTTTTATATTTAAACATTTCATTATCATATTAACTCTCTTTAAATACAAATATCTCATGTATTCAGTTAAATTTTAATTATTTATAAGTAAAACCTATTAAGTCGATATAATTTTAATGAATCACTATTTTTCATTTAAAAGGATAAAAATTTTTCACATATATATTGATAAAATTTTTTTTTTATTTTAATAAAATACTTAATGCGAAAGAAAAAATCTTTTTATATTAAACCCCTTTTTATATATCGTTAAAAATTTTACAAATAAATATGAATTTCTCTACATTGTTATAGTAACTTTTTTTATATGTTATTACATTTATTTTAAAATAATATTATGAAAATATATATTTAATTTTTTATGAATATAATATTTACCAAATTTCTGTGATACTATAGAAATTTTATATTTAAAACTATTTTTTATATTCTTCTAATGAAGAAAAAATAAACAAATTTTAGTTTTTATTTTTTTTAATAAAAAGAATTTTACTACAATTTTTAATTAATTTTACTCAGAAAAATTTTAAAATTTTTTTTTCTACAATTTTTACTTCTAATCGAAAATTTTGTGAATATAAAAAAAAAAAAAAAATTAGCAGTAATGACGTATAGAATGTATATTACTAGTAAATATTAATAATTAAATGAAATAATTATTATACTTTTTTCTCTAATTATATATATTTTATATATTTTTGCAAACATATTTTTAATAATATTATTTTACTTTCCATATATTCTTTATGTCGTTACTATAGTATATGGAGATAAAAAAAAATTTTCTCCTGCAAAATTTTTTTATTTTATTGTAACTTTTAAAAAATAGAAGTTATGCTACGAGAATCTTACATTTTATATATATTAATTAAAAAGTAAAATTTAATTTTAAATTAATTTTTTCCATATTTTAAAAAATTTTTTTTGTTAAAAATTGCATTTTTTTTTTTTTTAAATATTCTCATACGATATATCATTCGACATTTCTTTTTACAATTATTTACTTTTTTGCTTTTAATTTTTTGTAATATTATATACATATAAATATATATATACATACATATATAAATATTTATATATACATATGTATAATTTTATGATATATATAAAGTATATATAAAAATATATGTATATATACATATATATAAATATACATATATATATATATTTATATATATATATTTATATATATAAATATATATATACATATATAAAAATATATATATAGATAACTATATATGATGTATAATTTATTTATAATTTTAGAGAAAAAAATCACAGTTTTATTTATGATACACACAAAATAAAAAGGAAAGAAAATACATTAAATTATTTACCTTTTAAAAATATATGACTTGCTGTTGTGTGTAAAAAAAAAAAAAAAAAAGGGCAGTTTTCTAATAAAAATAGAAACTTGCTTTTAACTAATCTTTATTTTATAATTTAAATATTTCACAGATTAGTTCTTTTTTTTTTTTTTTTTTTATTTTTTTAATTGCATGCTGGATGAAAAACAGTTCTTTTATGAAGGGTCATTAATAATAATTCGAAAAATTTAGAAATTGAACTTTTTGTTAATGAAACTTAAAAAAAGAGATCTGAAATCCGTGTGTGCTATTTTTCTTTTTCCTTTTTTTTTTTTTTTTTTTCAGTATGCAATAATTATTTTTATTTGAAATGTAATATTAAAAAGAAATTATATTAAAATAAAAATATACATATTAAATAAAAAAAGAACATATAGAATTTTTGACGTATTTTTGTATAAATTAAAGTATATATGCATATATACCTTTATGAGCAAATATGATATTCAAATGAGAATAGACAGTAAATTATTTTTAAGGAAAAATAATATTTTGTGATTTGAGCTATTTTTTTTTTTATCTATTTTTTTTTCAAATTCAGATTAAAATTTTTTTTTACTATTTTAATTTTTTTTATTATCTACATTTCATAGAGAAAAATAAAAATATTGCTATTATTATATGTATTATTTTTTATAATGAAAAATATGTATATTATGTTGATAATAAATGCATTTCTGTCACGTATTCATGTGTTTAACTTTTAATTTTTATTTATGAAAATAAAAAATTATATATAATTTAAAAGATAACACTTTTTTTTTTTTTAATATGATATTTATTGAACTACTATACTTTTATTAAATTAGTTATATATATATATATATATATACACCTTTATTGAAAAAAACAATTATTTAAAGATAAAAAATTCTACGCATATTTATACTTTTTATGCATAACTTTTAAAATCCATGCTTATAATTTTTTATAATTTTCTCATTAATATAATTTTTATATTAAAATGTATGATTTATATTTTTAAACTTTATGACATGTAATTTATTTTCTATTTTAATTTTTAACTTAAATTTTTTTTTATTTTATGAGCTATTGAATTTTATTAAATATACTGATTTCATGAATATTGTATAAATACATATATTTCATGAATTAAATAAAAAAAAAATACGTTTATGAATAATGAGAAAATTTGTTATACGCTAATCTATATTTAATTATTATCTTGTCTTAACTTTTTTTTTTTTGTTTATTTATCTATACATATAAATATGTACATATATGTAATTTTCTATTAAAGAAAATATATTTTCGAAAAATGTAATATATATTTTCTTTTTTTTTTTTTTTTTTTTTTTTANTTTTTTTTTTTTTTTTTTTTTTTTTTTTCTTTTTTTTTAAATTAATCTTTAAATATTTATCTTTAAATGCATATATATACATTACATGTCTATATGCAAAGATATATTACTAAAATATATTTATGCATATAAAATATATTTTTTTTTTTTAATAGATGATAAAAAAAAAAATTTAAATTTAAGAAATTAGAAATAAATACAAAATATTTCATATATATGAAATATTTTAGTATAAAAGCATGTTTTCTCTTTTTTCTATTAAAAAAGATTAAAAAAAAAAAAAAAAAAAAAAAAAAAAAATCAATTATAAACTAAATTTATATGAAGAGAAAAAAGAATAAAAACAATAATACATAAAAATATTTTTTATTATTATATATATGTATGTATTATATGAAAATTACATGAATATATGTATATATAATATTTTTTTTTTTTTTTTTTTATTTATTACTCATACATATTTAGTACTATCAAATTTAGTACGGTGAAAATTTTGATTTTTGTTTTACATTATATTTTATTTTAATTTTTTCTTTTGTCCATTAAAATTAAAAAAAAAAAATTTTTTTTATATTTTTTCATTAATTAATGAGAAATATTTATTATTATATATACATTTCATAACATTATCATTTTTATTAACAGAGAGAATAATATACTATAAAAACGTTAAGTTATTATATACATGTGATTTTTTAATGTATTTTATGATTCTGAATAGAAATACATTCATGTATATACATATAAAAATTAAGTAGGTATATATTTATGTTTATAGACATATTTATCTAGTATATAATCTTATATACATTTATATTATTAAAATTATTAATAATATTAAGAAATAAATTTCATTTTTTTTTTTTTTTTTTATTATTATTTTATTATTTTATTTTTTTATTTTTTTTTTTTTATCTACTGCAGATTTATGACTAAGGACATTTATTATTTTAAAAATTTTGTCTGTGATAATGCCGTATTTGATAAATTAGATTCTAAAGAATTTAATTAAAAATTAATAGCTATAATTTATATAATACTTTTATATTATAAAGAAAAAAAAAAAATTTTAATGAAATAATTTTTCAGTTAAGCAAAGATTTATATTCTAACGAATATAAAACATATGGATTTATTAGAATTATTTCATTTTATTTAAATTAATTTTTTTTTTTTTTTTAATTACTGTTATTTTTATATTTACAAATGAAATTTACAAAGTTTTATTGTCATTACATTACATTTTGTTTCATTTAAATTCTTATGTGATACTGTTTTTTATTAGACTTATTTTTAAATTATTACATTTATAAATATATATATGGATGTTTTAAATAAATATATAATTACATATACAAAAATATATTATTTTATTTTTATAAATATTGAAAATTATCGGTATTTAACAAATGTTTAATACTGATATTATTACTTAAAATTTCTTTTTAATTATATATTAATGTTAAATTATATTTAAGTAATATTTAAAAGAATACATTAAGATAGTTATATATATTTATATATATATATATTTACATATACATATATATATAAATTTTTTTTTTTTTTTTTTTTTTGTCATATTCATCTTAATATTTATAGTAATTGTTTATATCTTAATTTTATTTCTTCATTTATATTTTATATATATTACTTTTTTTTCATTTTTTATAAATTTGTCATAAGATCATTTTATTATTTTTTTTTTATTTTATATGTATTTTAATAATACAAAAATTTAAAAATTAATTTGATAGTAGGACTGTTAAATTATTATAAAATCAACGTTTATGTGATATCCTACATTTTAAAAATTTTTTTTTTATTCATTATACATTTCTATTTTTTAGTGATTTTTAATAATATATTTAATTTTTTTATTATATTATTTTATCATATTTTTTTTTTTAAGTTATATTACTATGATAGGAATTAAACATTCTTTTCTTTTTTAATTATAGATGTTAATGTAAATTTATTTTTTTTTTTTTTAAAAAAAAAAAAAAAAAGTAAATGAGAATAAAAAGATGCATCATTATAATGCACTTATAAAATCAACAGAATAACAAGATAAAAATTAAAAGAGTTAAATTTATAGGCATATACATGTGCATATATGCTTGTAATATTTATGCAATATTTATAAAAGATATAGAAAAAATACAGAAAAAAAAAATAAAAATCTATGTGTAAAGAAAGAAACGTATAATAGAGACATTATATGAGAATAATGTTACAAATAAAAATATAATAATATACAGTTTTAATAATCTATTATTTATTTTATTATATTTTGTTTTTCAAATATATTCATTCTAAAGGTAATTAAATATATTTAAAAATAAAGAAAGATATTTGTATATCTTTCTATATATAAATATATATATATATACATGCATATTATTTGTATTTAGTTTTTATCATAAATATATATGTATGTGTTTTTATTAACTTTTTTTTTTTTTATTAATTTTTTTTATTTATAATTTTTTTGTATTCATTTAAATGCTTTATATTAGCAATTATAGAACATATGATAATTTGATTTTTCCTACTATTTAAATTATAATTGTTTTAAAAAGAAAAAATATAGTTAATACAATCATATGAACATATATAAATAAATATTGTAATGAACACAAGTTATATATTTTTGAAGAATACATTAAATATATATATATATACACTATTATTAATGATTTATTTTAAATAATCTTTTATTCTATATTCTATAATTTTTTTTTTTTTTTATATTTTCACATAGTATTCTTTATTATACATATGAATATATTAATAAAAATAACTATTTGTGTATTAAGACATTATAATAATATTGATTTTTTTTATATTCATATATTAAAATATAAATTAATTAATTTTTTGCATAATTAAAAATGAATACACTTCATTTTTCTTTTTTTTTTTTATTTATATATTGTTATGTATGTATATACACATGCATATTGTTTATATAAAGTATCTAATATTTTTTATATTAAAAAATTAAAAAAAAAATTAAAGAATAAAAAAAAGTTTTACATAAAAATCATTCTTTAAAGTATGATTTATATATATAATTTTAATTTTTTAAATATCATTGTTTTTTTTTTTTTTTTTTTTTTTTTTTTTTCATAGACACATGTAGTGTAACGTTTTAGTACACACTTTTTTCTTTTTATTTACATAGTTTTTACACGCATTAGCATTTATATATTTAACTACTGTTAATTATTACACATATTATTATTTTTTTTTCTTATATTTCATATTACTTTTTTCTTCTCATCTTCTTACAGTTCATTTTACCATATTATTTACCTTATTTTATTTTATTTTTTTTTGTTTTTTAAAAAATTACTCTAATATATTTTTCATTAAATTATATTCAATTAAATTTATTATATAAATAACTATCATTTTATTTTTCTTTTACTATTTTTCAAATTATTTAACTGTGTTAATCTATATTTTTCTGACTATATTTTTATTTTTTTTTTATTTTTTGACTTTCAGAATATTTGCTTATTTAAATCTTTTATTTTTTATAACTGTTATAATTCACATTTTTTATGTATTCTTCATATTTTCTTTTTTTTATTTTTCATTACATTAATTTATTGATTATCATTTTTAAGTAAGATAAACTTATTTTCATCTCATTTTTATTATATATATATATAATTATATTAATAAAAATTATTTTAATTAAGTATTAAAACTTGTATATATATCTATATATATTTTATTCATTTTATTAATTCTTTTTCTACATGAAATACATATATAAAAGTATTTAATATTGTATATATATTATTATTTTTCCTTTTTTTATTTTAATTATATATTTTAAGACTGATGATTTTTTTTTTTTTTTTTTAATGAATCCTTTCATATCTAAAATATTTAAAAATTTATATTGATTTATATTTATTTGACATTTAATTATACTAATTTATTGTAATTTTAATTTATTTTTATTTTTTTTTTTTATACATCTTCAATTAACTAGATTAATAGTTTTTTATATATTGTATTGTTAAATTGTATAAAATATATGTATTGTATAGAAAAAAAAAAGTGATATATATATATATATATATATATATATATATATATATATATATATATATAAAATAAAATATAAATAAGCATAATAATTTTCTTATATTATATTTGTATATTTAAGCATAGAGATATATCATATATATTTAATTTTTAATATTAATAAATTAATTATTATTATATTTAGGATAACTGGAAAATTATAAAATGTTTTTTATTTATATATACATGTTGAATAAAATAAATTATAATTTTTTGTTAAATTTCTAATTTATTTCAATTATAGGTAATCAAGAATTGTGCATAATAATTTGTTAAAAAAAAAAAATTTTAAGTTTACAACTTTTATAATAATTTTATCAATCATGGTTGAAATAAAATTATTATAATTTATTTTTTATTGAAGTAGTTTACTATAATGTGGTATTACAAGCATCATTATATGTGAACACAAAATGAAATATTAATTTTTTATAAGACTTGAAATTTATAAAGAATAATTTTTTTTTTTAACAAAAATTTAATATATCTTTTTTATAAAAAAAAAAAAAAAAAAGAAATATTAAAACAAAATAATAAAAGTAACAAAATTATTGAGAAGTAAAACATACATGTATTTTATTTGTGTTTGTATGTAGGTATATTTATATATTTTAATATAGTATAATAATAAATAAAATGAAAGTTAAAAAAATTTATTCTAAAATTAAGGGAAATAGAAAATATAAAAGTAAAAAAAATACTGATTTAAATTTTGAGTTAAATAATGAAGACAATATAATTTTGAATAACGATACAAAATGTTTTAATAATAATTTTAATGATATAAAAGAATCAAAAGTTACAAAAAAAAAATTGGGTATAGAAAATTTAGAATCTGCTACTATATCCCATGATAATTATTATAACGATAGTATAAGTAAAATTAAAAATTATGAAAATAAAATAACAGAAGAAAAAAGTAACAATGAAGATATAGAAAATGATTGTAAAATAGATAATATTCCTGATGAATTATTAAAAAAAAGGAAAGGTTTAATAAATAGAAAAATGAATAGTTGCATTTTTAATGAAAATATGAATTCTCATTCCAAAATTAATGAAGAGAAACTCAATGAAAGTAAATTGTTGAATTATAAAAATTTTAATTATAATAATAGTATCAATAATGTAAAAAATATAGGAAATGAAGAAATACAAAAATTAAATGAAAATAAAAATATTAATTTGATAGATGATCTTTTAAGTAAATCAAAAATGTACAATGAAAATAGCATTGAAAGTTTAAATAATGAAGGAAATATGCCACATAACAATAATTTAAGTAATAATAATGATATTTCAAATAATAATTTTTATCATTATATATCATTGCTTTATAACAAGAATATACCTAATCAAGGTAATATGAATAATTCTTTTATTAATAATTCTGATTATATATGCAACTTTTCGAATATATCTATACAAGAAGAATCAAATATAAATGAAGTTTCAAAAAATGAAACTCAAGAAATTAATTCAATAGATTGTCTTTTGGATAAAAAAAATGATAAAAGTTATATAAAACAAAAAAAAAATTCAAAAGAAAATTATTTTGTTTTAAATAATATACCATATTGTATGAATAACAAAAAAAGAAGTAGTAATAATTGTTCATTAGTTAATTATATAAAAAATTCATCAGACCACTTTTTAGATTCTAACAATGATAATTATAATTATGAATTAGATGTAAATAATAATTACCTAAATAATTCTAATGTTAATTTAAATAAGCATTATATAAATACAATGAATAGTAATAATTATGATATGATGAATACTAATTCAACGATTAGTTTAGACACAACCTATCTAAATAATTTTGATGATGATAAGAATAATTCTATATGCAATAGAAATAATGGATTATATAATATGGATAATAATTTTGATAAAACAGAAAATATATATCTAGAAAATAATGATTCATTAAATAATACTGATATTTTAAATACATTTAATTATAACAATTATATAAATGTAGGTAGTAATCATAGTAATAGTAGTAATAATTTTAAAAATGTAATAAATTTAAATGATTCTGATAATTCTATAAATTGTTCTAACTATAACCTAGTGGAAAAGAAAAAAAAAAATTTTAACAAATTTACAGAAAAAAATAATCATATTTTTATAGATTCAAATATGTGTAATAGTACAAATAATAGTAGTAACAATAGTTATAATAATGTTATACTAGAGGCAAACAGGAACACTTCAAAATTCAAAAAGTTAGATAGAAATAACATACACAAAAAAGATATTATATTAAATGATGGTAATAACACAGCAGAAAATATTAGCAATTTAAATGATAATATGAAAAATATATATAATCCTTCTAATTCTCACCTTAATTTGAATACACATTCTAAATTATCTGAAGATAAATTTTCTTCTAATAAACAGAATGAAGATGTATCCTTTAATAATATAAATGGTAATAATAGAAGTTTCAGTTGTATTGAAAATAGTAATTTCAATAATGATTTAGATAATTATAATATTGATAATAAATATAATATGAATGATACATATGATGTGAATTTATATAGTAGCACTTCTACTAATAATCTTAATAGTAGCAAAGATAAATTGAATAAAAATAGTTCCAATATTCATAATATAAATTTGAAAGATGTTAATATAAATTTAGATAATTACTCAAATGATATTGGAAATAACTCGTTAATTAATCATCCAAAGGAATATTTAAATAGTTCTGTCATGGATAAAATAGACAATCAAAAAATTCTTTTTAATATAAATAATCCTCAAATTAATAATATATCAAATTCTATGGATATGAATCAAGAAAATTTTAATTTTTCAAAAAGTGGTATATCAAATAATGCATCACATTTGTATAATTTAAATAATGGAGACATAAATGAATCAAGAAATATGACAAATTATAATGTTAAAAATTTGGCAAGGGAACCTATTTTTCTTTTTGTTAATTTAAATAATCAATCTAATAATTCTATTAACACTTCTAAGAATTATGCTAATGTAAATCTAAATGGAGGATACATTAATAATATGAATTTTTTTGGGAATCCAGGAAAGCCTCCTAATAATGAAAATGAATATGATTTTATGAATCAGACTACTACTAATAATAATTACAACAATGAATGGTTACATAATTTGAAAAATTATCCCGCAGAAGAAAATATAGAATTACCGATTAACATAAATAATAATTTTAATATAGGCAATTGTTCAATGAATAATATTAATCTTAATAGAAAATCTATGATTCCTACATTTAATAATGCTTATGATAATTTTCTAGCTCTTAAAAATTATAATAATGCAATGGAAAATCATGTAAATAATTTAAATATGCTAGTCCTACCAAAAATTAAAGGAGTTCGTTTTGATAAATCAGGAAGAAGATGGGTAGCTAGTTGGAGTCAAAATGGTAATCAGAAAAGACAGTATTTTCCTGTTAAAAAATTTGGTCAAGCACAGGCAAAATATTTAGCTATTTATGCAAGAATAAAAGCTGTTAAGTATATGCAAAGAAAGTCACATAGATCAGGAGAAGGTAAAAGAAATAATTCAAAAAAATTACTAATGAAAGATAAATTAAAAATGGATAATGGTTTAGATAATAATAATTATTTTAACAACAAAAATGGAGATTATTTAGAAAAAGATTCATTTGAAGAAAATAATCCAAATAATTATAATAATACTAATAAGCATGAAACTCCTTATAAAGATTCATTTAATGAATCTATAAAGAAGAATTATAGTATATGTATGAATGAACTAAATAATGAGATAAAATTTAAAAATATATCTTTGAATAAAAATGAAAAAGTTGAAAACTTTTTAGAAGATAATGTTCAAATTTATCATTCAGAACAATTAAATGCAAAAGATAAAAATCAGCACGATATAGAAAAACAATTATCTGTATCTAAAGACAATAAGAACAATAATAGTATACAAAATATTCATGAAGTAAAAAGTGAGTTATTTCATTTAAAAGAACAAGTATCTTTAGAATTTGAAAAAAAGGATAAAATTTTTGAACAAAATGAACAAATGGATATTCAAATGGATGATTTAAATATAAAAGGAAATAAAATTGGAAATATAACTCCACAAAAACGGAAAAATTTTGATCAAGGAAAGTTTAAGGAGGAAAAAAATATAAGAATTGTTAAAAATGAAATAGTAGATATGCATGATATGGATATGAAACAAGTATATGAAAATAATGATGAAGAAAATGAAATAAAAAAAGAAAAGAAAATAATAACATTTAAGGAAGAAGAAAATCAAATAGATATGAAAAATTTAGATGTTAAAAATGAAAAAGAGCATGAACATGAATTTGAAATTAAAAAAGAAGAAGATAGCGAAGACGAACAACGGCGAGGTGAAGAAAAAGAACATGAATATGAAATAAAAAAAGAACAAGAAGATTATGAAGAACAAAAAATAGATTGTGATGTTAAAAAAGAACAAGAAGAATATGAAGATCTTGAACAAAGTCAAGAACAAGAGCAAGAACAAACTGAAGATTGCGAAATTAAAAGGGAACAAGAAGATTATGAAGATCAAGAGAATGAATGTGAAATAAAAAAAGAACAAGAAGAATATGAAGAACAAGAACATATATGTGAAGTAAAAAAAGAACAAGAAGAATATGAAGAGCATGAACAAACATGTGAAGTAAAAAAAGAACAAGAAGATTATGAAGAACAAGAAAATGAGGAAGAACAAGAAGAAAAATACGAAATAAAAAAGGAGAATTATAAACAACAAAAAGGGGGGGAAGAAACAACAGGTTTAGCAAACATAAATGTTATGGGAAGAAATGAAAAACTAATAATAAATATAGATGATAAAAATGAAATTAATGATTTAAAAGAAATATTGCAAGAAAAAAAAAACTTAGACGAAGATTTAATGAATCAGATATTAATATTAGAAAAAATTAAAAAAAAAATGATAAAGATATTAATAGATTCACAGGAACAAATGAGTATACAATTAATTGAAACAAACGATGAAATGGTTAATAAAAAAGATGAAATAAATAAACTAAAATTAAATGAAAAAATTTTGTTACTTCAACAGTTAAAAGAATATAATAGTGGAAGTTATTTAATTAATGAAAAGGAGGATATTGATTTAATACATAATGAAAGAAATATGAAAAGTAATAATGATATACTAGAAGATAATAATAAAAATGCTGATGAAAAAAAAATATGTAAAGTGGACATTCAGAATTTGAAGGGGTGCAATAATATTATACCAGAAGTAAATGAAGACTATAGAGTTACTAAAGAAAATATCAATGAAGAATTAAAATTAAAAAAAAAAGAATATGTTGGAGACAAAAATGAAATAATGTTACTGATGAAAGAAAATGAAAAAGAGAAGATGTTTGAAGTTAATAAACAGCAAAATAATTTATATAAAAATTTTAAAGTAGAGAATATATATTTAAATAATATAACAGATAAGAACAGAGATAATGATTTTTGTAATTATTCGAATAACCATTTATATTATTCAAAGAAAAATAGTGATAAAACTAATATGGTGGATTGTGATAGTACAAATTTTAATGATTTAGCAAATAGTGAAGAAAACGATTTTAAAAATAAATTGAATTTAATTAAATTTATGAGATCCAACTCAGATATAAACTTGAATTACAAAAATAAAGAATACTCAAAAAACGAATATATTGGAGAATATAGAAATATGGCAGGTATTAAAAAACAAAGAAGTATGCAAAATATAGGTAATTTTGAAAAATATCATCATTTAGATAATAACATTTTAAAAAATATTTTAAATAATAATAATTGTGAAAATAAAGATAGAACCTCAAATGACCCATCAGAACTAATTAAAGAAATGTATGATGAAACAAATTTTTCTAATTTTGATGAAAATATATTGAATTTTTCTTTTAATTGTAATAATAAATCAAATATGATTAAAGATAATGCTAATGTAAAAAATATTTTAAATGAATTTAAGCAAGATAACTACAAAAATAATGATGAAAATATAGATATTAACAATATGAATATTAATAATTCTTTTATAACCATGAAAGGATTACATAATAAATATTTAGTTAATAATAATAATAATAATGAGGAAATATTAAATTCGGATACTTATATGAATGGTAATTTAGATGATGTTAGTGAGAAAAAATTACACAGTTATATTAGAAATTACTCGAAAAATAAAGTTAAGGAAAATATAAATAATTTAAAAATAAAAAATAATTATGATAAAAATAATGAAGATAATAAGAGTATAATTAGAAATAATATTAATGGAATAAAAAATGATTTAAATACGAAATTTAATATAGCAAATAAAAAATTTGAAAATGATATTTACTCCAGTAATGAAATCAATGGAAACAATGACAATCACTTATTAAATTTAAAAAAAAAAAATTCAGGAAATTCATTTAATGAATACAACAATAAACATATTAGCGAACAAAAGTATAACAATACATCTAATAATGTAAAATATTTCGAAAAAGATAATATTATAGGAGAAAAAGACAATATTGGGATTTATTGTATGAATATGAATAATGATATTAAACAAAATGCATTTTTTAATGTAGAAATGAAAAACGAAAAGAAAATTCCGCAGAATAAAGAACTTATGATTTTTAAAACATATGGAAACACAAATAAGAATATTGATGAAATTATTCTAACCAATAACAATAAAAGAAAGATATCTAGTTTAAGTTCATCGTGTAGTAATAATGATGTTAATAAAAGTAAATATAATGATTTTAATAAAAGTTATAAAAGTGTGAAAAGTTTAACAAAAAAAGAACCGAAAAATTACAACAAAAATATAAATATTGATAACAATTCAGAAAATAACATGCCAAATTTAAAATTTTTGTCAAACTATATTAGAAGCAATTCTAATAACTTTATGTTTTATAACTTTAATAAAAATTATGACAATAATCATAATAGTGTAAATTATGATACTAATATAAATGATGATAGAAATTATAATAAAAATAATGCAATTGGAGTTGTAAATAGTAATGAAAACGGATGTTTGAATAATAAAATTAAGAAAAATATGCATAATAATATAAATGATATAAATTGCACTACTAACAATATTATTGATGATAATATTAATGATGTGAATTCTGATAAAAATAATATAAAGTGTACAATTAGTAATATAAATGATAACTTGAATAATATGAGTAGCTATGTAAATAGCATTGGGAATACTAATGTAAAAAATTTAAATAAATGTAATAAAAACATGAAATATAATATAAATCATATTAATAACGATGAAAGTAGTTTTAATAAAAATGTTGAATATATTATAGAAAATAATAGTCAGAAAAATAAGTATATAAGTGCACCTTTTTTGTTCTCAAACGATTACTATAACTCTTTTAATATAAAAAACGGTTTTTATGATTCTAATTATAATAATAAAAATAAAAATGTTGGTAATTGTAGTAATGATGATAATATTGGTAATACAAATAGAAATAATTCTTCTATCAAATCATCATTAAATAATATTCATGGTATTCCTTTTACAAGTTCAAATTATCATACAAAGCAGAATATGAAAGATAAAAATGGGAATGAAAATAGAGATATTTTAAAATCAGATAAATTAAATTCAGAAAAAAATGTAAGTATGATTGATTTAACAGATACAACAAGTAATGTAAACTGCTATGGTTTTATGAATACAAAAAATAATAATGATTATTTAAATATAAAAAATAATAAATTTTCATTATCAAATAAACCTAATAACAATAATTTAGATAATTATAGTACAGATATTTCAAATAATAATTTACATAACCATATAACAAATGAAAGTAAAACTAAAGGAAATTATAATTTATGTACTGATTATTTCAACATGGATCATAGAAATAATTTAAATTCAAATTATAATTCAAACGGTGTAAATAACCTTTATAGTTATATTTATATGTAAACATTATTTAGAATTAACTCAAATAATTTTTACATTAAATTGTAACTATTTTTAAATATTCTTTTGTTATTTTATTATTTCTTATTTTATATAATTTTTTCATTATCAATTTAAGTATGAACTTAAAATTGTGAGACTATATACGTATTTTGTAATGTTTCACGATGGCAAAATTACTGTTATTAAATTTATGTTTTATTGATTCTTTAATTCTTGTGTACAATGTACATTTTTATGATAAATCTGTGTATTAAAAATAATTTTTTAGCCTTTTTTTTTTTTTTTAATTTTTTTGCAAAGTAAAATTTTTTTTTTTTTTTTTTTTACGTTTAAAAAAAAACTTTTTAATATTTCGATCAAAGAAAAAAAAAAATATTTTTTTTTATTACAAAAATTAGTAAAAAACAATTTAAATCTTTTCTTTTTTTTAAATGCTATTATATTTACGAAATTATTTTCAAAATTTTATTAAAAAAATACTTTGAAACTTATTGTACCTTTATTATTTTATTCAAATGATTTTTTTTTTCATAAAAATATGTTAATATAGATAGTTTTAAATAAAGTATATACTAGTTATATAATTTCTCATCAGCTATATATATCTTTTGTTATATACTTTAAATGAAAAAAACAAAAAAAAAAAAAAAAAAAAGATGCCATGTATATATAACTTTTATAAAAATATTGTATTTTTTTTATTATAAAATTATATTAAAAATTACAAAAAAAAAATTATGTTTTATTAAAATTACAAAACTTATTTTTTTTAGAAACGTAATTGAGAATATGAGTAGATATATCACTTCCTGAATCTGAATTACTTTCACTTTGTCTGTCTATATAGTCATTGCTTATAGAACATTTCTTTTTTTTTTTTATTTCTGATTTAACGTATTTATTTAAAACATCCTTTAAATTAGTATTAAACCAAGTAAATAATGGATGTTTATTTAAATTTAACGATTTATTTATTATGTCATTAAAATTTTCTTTACTTTGTGAATTATCTAAATTTTCTTTTATTATTTGTTCTACAATACTATTATCTAGATATCCTCCATAGTTATATATTTCATCCTTTTTAATTTGTTCCTCTAAATTAAAATCTAATTTTTTTACTTCTACTTTTAATTTTTCTTTTAAATATGCAGAATAATTTTGTGAATTATCTAAATAATAAAATTCTACTAAACACATACCTAAGGATTTACAGTATTGTTCATCTTCTAATATTAAAACTCTTTTAACTTTCCCAATTTTTTCACACACATTTTTTATCAGAATATCATTAATGAAATATAGTAAATTTATTAACAATAAAAATTCCAATTTATGATCTCCTATTTCTATATCTTCACTTGCTTGAGGTGCACCAAAAAATAAACAAGATTCTATTAAAAAAAAAAAAAAAAAATACAAGAATTTTATATATTTATATTTATTTATTTTTTTTTTAATTATAGTATATAATTAAAATTTCAATCTACAAAATAATATTTGTATGGAGCTTTTAACATTATTTTATTATCTTCTTATTCCTAATTCTACATATCTATATACATAAATATATATTTGTATTTTTGTATCTATATGTTAAAAAGTGTACCTTTTTTAGTATATATAGTTTTCGTACCGCTTAACTTTTTATATAAATTATTTCTTGATTTCTCATAGATTTGCTAATAGAGAAAATGTAAAAAAAAAATGTTTTATATAAGTATAAATGTTATTACATATATATATATATATATATATATATATATATATATATATATATATATATTTGACTTTATTTATTAATTTTATTTTACTTCTTTTGGTTTTACAGCTTTTTCGATTTCTTTTTTTTTTTCTTCTACTTTTTTTTCATAAGAGTCCTATAATAGTTCAATTAAAAAATTAAACATAAAAATTTGAAATAATAAAAAAAAAAAAATTTAAATTTCTAATAGGAAATAAAAAATTTCTTCTAATAATTTTTAAAAAAGAAAAAATATTAACTAAAAATGCAAAGATAGTTTACCAAATTTTCTGCTTCTAATCCTTCATATAAATCTTCATCATCTTCTAACTTCAAAAAAAAAAAAAAAAAATATATTAAAAAATAAGTATCTATGCTTAATTTTTTATTATTTAATAATTTTACAAGAAAAAATATTTATTTAAATTTTTTTTTTTTTTTTATACCTCTGAATAATTCATATGGATGTATAATAAGAAATATAAAAAAAAAAAAAAAAAGAATTATTATAATATACAAATATTTAATTTTAAATGTAATTTAATTTTAAAAAAATATTTTTGTAAAATTTGTCATTATATAATATATATATAAAAAAATGAGTTAATAAATATTAATATTTTTTCTTAATGTAGATTAATAAATTATACATTTAATATTAGTATGTTTTCAAGATATTTTTTTTATTGTTATTCTTTCATTTTGATAATTTTCTGTTAATAAATGTAATGTATATATTACATATATTTATGAGAAAAATTTTTACAATTAAAATTTTTATAAAAATTGAATTTATGAAAAAAAAAATTTAATAATAAAATTTATGCGTATTTTTAAAATTTTAAATTGAAATACAAAGTGCGCAATAATTAATTTTTCATGTTTTAATTTGAAAGAATCAAGAATATACTTAAAAAAAAAAAAAAAAAAAAAAAAAAAAAAGCTAAATCTTTTGGATGTTGCAAGATTGTTTCAATATATTTTATATTAAAAAAAATTAAAAAAAAAAGGAAAAAAAAATTGCTATAATTTATAATCATATTAAGAATTTTAATTAATCATTTTTAAGTTTTTAAAGAACATCTTACATTTTTTTTTTTTTTATTTTTGTTTGTTTTTTTTATTTTTATTTTTATTTATTTTTTTTTTGTTTAATAAAATTTATAAAATATGTCAAATGCATGGAGATGTGAAGCTTGCTTAGTTATGAACTCAGAAGATGCATATGAATGTGTGTGTTGTATGCAGAAAAGAAATATAAATATTGAAGATAATGCAAATACTGCTACTGTAACTTCTAGTACTATAGATTCTAATAATAATGATAATATAAATAATAGTGAAAAAAAAAAAAATAATAATAATAATAAAAAATTAACTAATAATGAAAAAGCAAAATCAAGTGAGGAAAGCATAACAAAAAATAAAAATACAAAAGTTAAGAAGAATGCTACAAATATACTAAAAGATACTAAAAAGAAAGAAAAAAATAACGTAAATGAAAATGTAAGTAAGCTAGAAGGAGGAGGCTTCATGCCATCTGTTAAACCAGCAGATAACCATGAATCCAGCAAAAGTATTTTTTTAACAGGAATTGATAATACATCTACTCCCATTGTTACTACTACTAGTAATAAACAAAAAAAGGAATTAAAAAATAATTTGGAAGAAAAAAATAAAGTTATGGAAAAAAATAAAGTTATAGAAAAAAATAAAGAGAAAAAAAAAATAGAGAGCAATGAAAAAGGCAGTAATAAAAGAATACAACCAGCAAGAAAATGTACACAGAAAAAAATATGTTATAAAACTTAATTTTAAAAAAAAAAAAAAAAAAAAAAAAAAAGAATGGATCAATAAATAACTAAAAAAAAAAAAAAAATTATTTAATTTAAAAATTATGTCCTATTTTATAATGTTTTATAATCTTATGTATTTTTATAACTTCAATAAGATGAATCTTAGTTTTTTAATTTTTATTATTTTTTTTTTTTTTTTTTCCATTCATTGAGAAAACATAAATTTTTCTATGTCTTTTTAACTGATTTTTATAAAATTTTAATGTATTAAAATTTAATGAAATTTACGTATTAAAATGTGAACAAAAACAATCATATAATTTAACCCTTTATTATTTACATTATAGATTTGTGTACTCCTTTATATATAATTTTCTTTTTTTTAAATATTTTTTTTTTGCCTTCAAATTTATATTATAAAAATATTTAAAATGATCACAATTAGAAATATGAAATTGATGTCATTTTTTGTATATGTATGTTTTAACATAGGAAAAAAGATAAAATAAAATAACAATAAAATAAAAAGCATTAAAAAAGTAATTAATAATATAATTAATCTCTCATTATTTAAAATTTTATATGCTTATCTAAAAACTAAAATAACCTTTTCCCTTTTATTATAGTTTTGAATGCCAGTTATCAATGTGATAAATTCCTATTTATAAATTAGTGTTTTCATCATAATCTGAGCTTTTTGACTTTGGTTTTTTATTGTGATAAATACTTTTTATAATTTCAAAATCTACTTCTCTTGGAACTTCAATTGGTTTAAATGTATCAATAAAAAAATTTAAAATATAATAATTACCTCCTATAAATGTCATAACAGTTGGTAAAATGAATAAACCTAATACATATAATATCTTTGCTCGTTTATCTTTTATATTTTTCCTATTTGGTTTATGAAAACCACAGTAAAAAAAACCCATATTTTATTAAAAAAAAAAAAAAAAAAAAAAAATCTAATAATTTCAATTACAAATTATTAAAACGTACAAAAATAAAATTTTGTTTATTATTTAATTTTTACATTTTTTTTTCTATAAATATTTTGGTTTTTTAAGATTAAATATATTCATATTTTTTTATGTTTAAATTTGAATGATTTATTTCTATAGACTTATTTTCATAATATATAAATATTATTTTTTATTTTATTGTATTTTATATATATTTATATATATATTATATATTTCAAGATAATATTTTTTATTTCAAGTTTATTTTTTATTGTTTTGTTTATTCTTACTGTTTATTTTTTTTAATTAATTTATTAATTTTTGTATTTTTTTTCTTGCATTTTATTTCGATTTTTTTTTTTTTTTTTTAATTTTTCTAATTATATCAATTTTTTTTTTTGTTTTATCTATTCTAAATGTTATTATTTTTTTTTTTTACTAATTTGATTTTTATTTTTTATTAGACAATTTGTTATTGATATTTTATCATTTTTATTAGTAAAATTAAAGATGTTTTTATGTGTAAACTGTTTTATTTAAAAGTGCAAAAATAAGAATTGCTTATAATACAGTACAACTAGCAAAATTGCATTAAAAAATAGAAAAGGGAAATTTTTAAAAATTCAAAAAATTTTCATTAAATACAAAAGACTTAAGAGTATTTTCCAATACAAAAAAATTCATGCATTCGACATTATTTAAATTCAAAAAAAAAAAAAAAAAATAAAAATAAAAAAATAAAAAATGAATAACAAAGAGTTAAATAATTTAATTGAACACATTTTATCAGAACTAAAAAAATCAAAATTATATACTGAAAATATAATAAATGAAAAAAAAGACGAAGATTATGAAAAGTATTATAATATACTAACATCTATTAATGAAAAAATTCATTTTTATGAAAATTTTAATATGTTAGATAAAAATGAAATGGATAATATAGAAAATGAAAATTCAGGATCTCAATATAATGATATATGTCAAGAGTATGAAGAGGGATATAGTAAAGAATTAAACTTTTTTAATGATTACAAAAAAAACAAAAAATTATTTGATATAAATAGTTTAAAAAAAAAAGTTATTCTAGGATATACAATTGAAGGGAATGCAATAATTATAAATAATGAAAACTTTCTTAAATTCTTTAAAAATTTTGATAAAAATAGTTCCATTAAATATCATAATAAAGAAATTGTACATAATTCAAGAAACACCAAAGAAAAGAGAAAAATAAATGATAAAGAAAATAATGAAAGTAAAGAAAATGAAGAATATGAAGATTATTTTAGTGAAAAATCTTGTTCAAGCTCTAGTGTAATTTCTCTAAAAACATTTATTGAAAATAATAAAAATTTAAGAATAAATAAGAATAGAGAAACCTACATAAAACATAAATATGATGATAATTCTTATATCAATCACAAAATAGATTGTTGTAGTGATTGTTCTTCGAGTTCTTTTAGTTGGTATGATAAAAAATATGATAATTTATTCTATTATAGCAACTTATTAAAGGAAGATAAACATTTAAAAAAAAACAATTCCATTTTTACCGATACAATAAAAAAAAAGAAAAAAAATATTTCCCCCTTTTACAATTATATTTATTTTAAGTATTTAGAAAAAAATAAAAAGAAATTATATCCAGTTTTCGTAAATAATAAAAATGGTAAAAAAAAGATATGGAACTTAAAAAAGACTAATAAATATTATCAGAATTATCAAAGTCAAACAAATAAATATGAATTGGATAATAGTTTTTTTAGTTATAAAAACTATAAATATCTTTGTTCTACAGAAAACGAAACAAACAAAAAAAATATTAATTTTAAAAAAATTGAAAATATTTCTTTAAAAAATCATAATTTTGAAAAAGATGAGATTAACTAGTAAGAACAAAAAAAAGAAAAAAAAAATAATATACCTACATATAGAAATATAGATATTTATAATGATAATTAAATTTTTAAATATAAAAAACAAACAATTTATTTTTCTCTTTATATACAATATTTACTTCATAGTTCAATAGATAAAATAATTCATCAACTGGAAAAAATATCTAATTCAGAAAATAATCCTAACAGAAAAGTAACCTTTAATGATCATTTTTCTAATTTCATTAAGAAAAATAAAGATTACCTTAAAAAAGAAAAGTATTTATTTATTTTTTTTTTTTTTTTAACAAATATGTAGATATTTATTATATTTATTATTTATTTATTTATTTTTATTTTTATTTTTTTTTTTTTAATAATCAGCAATTTTGCATTTAAAGAATTGTGTGATACAGATAAAATAAAGTAAAAAAATATATTAAAAAATTATTGTATTATTATTTCATTAATCTTATGAAATAATAATTATTTTTTATTTTTTATTTAGATTAAAAGTAAAAATAATAGGAACTAACGGAAAAATAATAAAAAATAAATGTCTAGATAATGTTATTATAAATAAGGTAAAATAATTATTATATATATATATATATATATATATTATTTATATAAAATATATAAATATATATCTTTTATTTTGTATATTAAATTCTATAGAGTAAAACTTTTGGAGATTTAGCATACAAATTAGGTCATTTTTTTAAGCTTCCTAAAGATAAAATCGAAAACATCAAAATTTTTTTTGATGGAGATTTATGCAATAAAGATATGACTTTTAGTAAAATAATTTCATGAAAAAATTCCATTTTTAATAACAAGAATATATATATATATATATATTACTTTACTTTTATTATAGATAATAATGAATTAGGGTTAGAAGATGGTTATCAAATAGATGTGAAATTCCCATTAACAGATGTATTTTCTTTTTTTTTTTTTTTTTTTTTTTTCTTCAAAAAATTTGTTTTATATTTTAAATAATTTTTATTTATAGGATACTCCTTGTATAGCAGATGAATCATCATTTAGTGACGATTCTTACATAATTTTTTTACCTGATTCATATGTAATTGAATAAATATTAAAAAGGAAATTCCTAATAAAGAATACTTTAGAATATTCTATTTTTGTATTTTTTTTTTTTTTTTTTTCCTTAAATTTGCATATTCTTCCTTTAAATATTAAAACATTTAATCTTTAAAAATAAATAGGTTTTTATTTCAAGAGAATATTTTTAATATATTAAAACTAATATGTAATATTAAAAATTATTAATATTATTTATCAAATATATAATAAATAAATATATATTTTATTTTTAAAATAGTAACAATTAACAAAAAAAATCTCTTATGTAAAAATATAAAAAAAAAAAAAAATTTTTTAAAATACCAAAATATATGCCTTTTACATTTTTAAAATACAAATATAAAAAATTATATATATATATCATATAAATTTTACACAAAAAAATTAATGAAAAAAAAAATATAAAAAAATTTAATTAATTTTATAAAATTAAATATATGCAAATAGTATTTTAAATTTAATTATTTTAGAATTTTTTAATTATTATTTTTTTTCAAAAATCCATACTCTCGTTTTGCCATTTTTGAAGATATTTCTCGTTAAATGTACATTTTTTTGTATATTTTGAAATTTTTAAAATACCTATATATGCATGTTTACAATTTATAATATTATTAATATCTTCTGGAAATAAAATATTATCATCAGGAATTACTTCTTTATATTTTATCTTGTACAACTGGTCATTTATTTCAATAATTCCATTTAAAACAGCTTTCTCTTTTAATAAATTCACAACTCGTTGCATAATTTCTTTAGGATCAATTTGTATGTCTTCTAAAATTAACTTTATAATTTTTTTATTGTTATCTATTTTATCAATTGTTTTTAATTTTTCCAATTTTTTTTTGTATGATATATTAAATCCTCTTAATGATATAATATTTTCTTTATCTGTGTCATCACTTGAAGATATTTGTTCTTCATTACTAAAATCTTTTTCTGTGTTTTTTTCTTTCATTATAAGTTAATTTACTTAATAAAACACCTTAAATCTTTAATTTTTTTTACATAAAATATTGAATATCTACATATATATATATATGAAATCAATAACAAAATTTTGTCGTCTTATACTTTTTCAAAAATTTTTATTTCTTTACAGATTTTATCCTATCTTAAAATTTATTAGTTTTTAAAGAGAAAAAAAAACTAAAAAATTACTTGTTTGTAAAAACTTCTATATTTTATTATTATTGAATTAAAAATAAATTTTGTACATAAAAAAAGAAAAAAAAAAAAACAAAACAATATCCAATAAATTTATAAAGAAAATTAACATTACAAAATTACAAATAAAAAATTTCCTATATCACTACTGTTATTTTTCTTCAAAAAATATAATTCAAATTTCAATACTCTACCAAAAGTTTACTTGAGAAAAAAAAAAAAATTGAAATAAATTTTTTTTTATATATATACTTTTTAAGCTTAAATTAAATTTATACATAATTTACATTTTTATTTTTTAAAAGATCATCAAAATTATAAAAATAATTATAATTTATTATTATTTTTATTATTAAAATTTAAATAATTCATTATAAAGTTGTATTGCGTTATTTATAAAAAGAGTTTAAAGTGTATTCATATATTTGCATAATAAAAAAAAAAAAAAAAAAAATGACATATATGTATATATGAATTGAAGGCATTTAGCTTTTTATTTTTACTTAAAAAAAAAAAAAAAAAAAAATTAAAAAACAATATTAAATTTTCAATTTTCATTTTTTTATATAAATATTTATAAAATAATATTAAATATAATTTGATAATGTTTTATTAATTTTAATTATTCTCTTTAATTTGAAATTAACCTTAAGAAAAAAAAAAATTATTTTTTTTTTTAGCAACAATAAGAGAAAATTTATCTTCATATAAAAAATGGTAAATTTCTATATGTATTTTTGTATTATATAATAAATATATATATAAGATTTTTTATTTATGTATTTAACGAGTTAATGAAAAAAATAAATTATGATACTATTAAGTGTAGATTTATGAATATTATCTTTTTATTATTTATTTATTTTTTTTTTTAATGTATATAATACATGTAGCAAATCAAATGTAATACATATTCGTTTATTATTTATGTAGAAAAAATAAAAAAATTAATATATTTTAATAAAATTAAAAGAAACTGAAAAATATTTAATTAAAAAGAGAAATATTTTTAATAATTTATTAAATATATATTAAAAGAATTTAATAAACTTAAAACATTAATATTATTTACTTTATCATAATAATTTTATTTTGAAAAAATATGGTCACTCTTGTATGATATATATATATTTTTTATTAGTACAAAAAAAAAAAAAAAAAAGAAATAGAATATATATATATATATACACTTTTTTCATATTATTTTTAGGCGGATGCAAATAAACCTAAAAAAAGAACATTTCGTACATTTCAATATAGAGGTGTAGATTTAGATAAGTTATTAGATATAAGTCAAGATGAATTAATTAAATTATTTAGAGCAAGGCAAAGAAGAAAATTTAAAAGAGGAATAAGTAAAAAAGCAAAATCACTTTTAAAAAAATTGAGAAAAGCAAAAAAAGAATGCGAACCAGGAGAAAAACCTAAACCAATACCAACTCATCTTAGAAATATGACAATTATTCCTGAAATGGTAGGATCAATTGTAGCTGTTCATAACGGAAAACAGTATACTAATGTTGAAATAAAACCAGAAATGATTGGATATTATTTAGGTGAATTTTCAATTACTTATAAACATACAAGGCATGGAAAACCAGGTATTGGTGCTACACATTCTTCTCGTTTTATTCCACTTAAATAAGTTTCATATATATATAAATATTTATATAATTTAAGAAGTGAAAATTAAAAAAAAAAAAAAAAAATTTTAGAAATAACAAAATTCAGGATATAGATTAATGTATTTTTTAATAATATTAAATATTTTTACCTTATTTTTATCCTTTTCTTTTTCTTTTTTTTTTATTTATAATTTTAAATTTAATAATAGTATTTAACTTGAGTTTTTTAAATTATTAAAAATATAAAAACAAATAAAGAGAATTGAAAAAAAAAAAAAAAAAAAAAAAAATATATCACTGTTCTATATTTTACCATATCTATATATATTAAAAAAAAAAGAAAATCTTAAAAATTAAAAAATAATTATTTATGTTCTATACATATAATTTGAAAGCATTTGTTTATTACAAAAGTTAAAACAAGAATATTCTTTACATAAAATTTTGAAAAAAAATTATATAAACATTGTTAAGAATTCTTTTTCTTTTGAAGGTAATATTTCTTTTTCTTTTTTTTTTTTTAAGCTTAAAAAATTTTTTAAAAAAGAAAAAAGAGATTCTTCAGTTATCCAATTAATTTTATTTGGATCAATATAAAAATCATGCTCTTTATTATGTGATTTATTATTAAATCTATAGTAATACATATTAGAGTAATAACTTAAATTATCACACATATGATTGTTCAATAAAACTATTTCATAAAAAATTTGATTAGCCATATATAACTCTTTTTTATTTAAAACATTCATATCTATCTTATATTTATCTGGTAGACAATCTTGTAAACTAAATAAATTTTTCTCACCTTTATATCCTAAATTTCCTTCAACTTCCTTAAAATTATCATATGTTTCCTCATTAATTACATCACTACTATTTTCATTTTTCTTAAGTTCATATCTTAAAATTTCATCTACATCAATTGGCTCTTTTTTTATTTTTTTGTGTATAATAAAACAGTCATTATTTTCCATTTTTATATTATCTAAATTTTTTAAATAATCTTTTTCTACATTATAATTGTCTTTTAATAATTTTGAATTCATTTTTATAATTTCTACAATTTTATTTTTATCAAAATTTTTATTGAGATCTTCGAAGCAAAAAAAATCATTTTTTACTTCCATATTCATAAACAAGGATGCTGAAATAAACATTGATTCATATAAATCTTTTTTGAAATAATTTAAAATATCATAAACTACACTTAAAATATTTATGCATATATTAAATGATGTTAAACAACCAACACGAAGCAATTTTTTCAAAAAGGATATAACATAATGTAAAGGAATCATTTTATTTTTAAGAGATAAATAGATTATTTTTAAGAAGCATGTATCATCATAATAAAAACTAGCAGGTATTATTAACTCAAATAATCTCTTATAATAATCTGTATACATGTTATTATTCAACTTTTTAATATTGCCATTTTTATTTTTTTCTTCATCTTCTTTTTCTTCATTTTTATTTTCTTCTTTATTATCATTTTCATATTCATATTCATTTTCACTACTTTTATCAGTATTATCTACATATTCATTTTCACTACTTTTATCAATATCATCTACATTATTATTTTCACTACTTTTATCAGTATCATCTACATTATTATTTTCACTACTTTTATCAGTCTCATCTACATTATTATTTTCTTCTTTATTATTACTTTCAAGTTCATTTTCTTTTTCTTTTTCATTTTCATATTCATTTTTATTTTTTTTTTCATTACTATTTTCATGTTCATTTTCTTTTTCATTATCATTTTCATATTCATTTTCTTTTTCATTAACATTTTCATGTTTATTTTCTTCTTCATTATTATTTTCATTATCATTTACATATTCATTTTCTTCTGCTTTATTATTTACATATTCATTTTCTTTTTCATTATTATATCTAATTCTGCCACTATCATCAATTTTATCAATTCCAATATAATTGTCTATTTCTTTGTTACAATATTTTTGATCATTTTCAGATACGATACTATCACAATTCTTTTTGTTTTCATCAATTTTATTATTATCATCATTGTTATTATCATCATTGTTATTATCATCATTGTTATTATCATTTATATTGTTATTATCATTTATATTGTTATTTTTATTTTCATTTAAATTGTAATTTTTCTTATTATTTTCACTTTCATCATTTCTACATTTTTGATCACTATCATTATTACTGGTAACTTCAATTTCTTCAATGTGATACATTTTATTTGAGTCATTATAATTTCTGTTAACATATGAAATGTCAACATCATCTTTTTTTTCTATTTTTGTTTGCAAATTTACTTCATACATTATATTATTATCAACTTTATTACTCATTGAGTTATTGCTAACGATATTCTCCTCATAGTTTGTCTCCTTTTTTATTTTGACTTCATCAATTTCTTCCTTTGTTTTTTTTTGATCATTCAAGTTGTAATAATTACTTTCTTCTAATAAATCTCCAATATTTAATTCTGTTAATATATGAAAAATACCTGGTAATGCCGCCAGAGAAATATATAAATTTGATGAAGAGTAAAATGAGAAATTAAAATAATCAATTAAATAATAAGGGTTATTTGTATATGGGAATACAAATAAAGGAATAGAATGTAACAACTGCAAGGTCATAGAATAATTATGTTTATAGGTTGTTATAAAATAAAACCAACAACTAGAATACAATTGACTATATAGTTTATTTTCTATATTTACATTTATAAATAAATTATTTTTTCTTTCTTTCATTTTATATTTGTTTTTCTTATTTTCGTTTTTTACCATATCGTAATCTTCTATATTATCTGAAAAATTGATATCGCTAGCATCATCATTTATATCTATGTAATCTAAAAAATCCTCATTTGAAATGTTAGTATCTTCACTTGAAGAAGAATGAATTATACTATCATCACTGTCATAATTATAAAAACCTTTCTTTTTAGGTGGTTCATTCTTTTTATGCTTTCCGATATAATTTCTTTTTCTCCTCATAATTTTCTCTTTATCATCTATATCAAAAAACATATCTATTTGGCTTTGCTTCATAAATTTACTTTTCTTGATATGAAAGTTTTTTATTTTTTTTTCTGGTTTAATTGAATTAATTAAAATACTATAAATAAAAAGATTTATATTATAGTTATCATTTATTATTTCATTAGATTCATTTCTTTCTTTTATATCTACATTAGATTCACTTTTAAAATTTTTTTGATCATCAGAAAAACTAATGTTTTCATTAATAATGTCTTCTGTTTTTTTTTTTTTTTCAATACACAAAATTTTGAAAATTGATAAGAAAAAATAATTTAAATCATAATATAAACATATATAACTTTTACATACGTGTTTTATTATATCTACTGACATATTCTTCATATTTAGTAAATTAAAAATAATTCGTCTATATAATTTAAAAGGAAATGCTTTCTCAGAATAATTATTTTTCTCGTTAGTATTATTATCATTATCTTTTTTTAATTTCTCACATATTTTTTCATATATTTTTAATTCACACTGTAAGCTACCAAATAAAAGAGATAAACTTTTTTTTACAAAAACTTCATCATCATGATTTAATAATTGAAATAACAATTTTAAGAATTTTTCAAAACACTCATTTAACCATTTTTCGTATTCTGTATAAGAATTTTTATAAGTATCTAAAATAACAGAATCTTTTTTAAGAATTCTTTTTAACTTAATATCATCAACATCATCATGATCGTTTTCTTCATTTGAATTATATAATAACTTTCTTCTAATTCTTTCATTATATAGTAATAAAAATAACTTTGTTAAACTATTTAAAATACATTTCTTACTTTTAACTGTTTGCAAAATATTAAATAAAGAACATATATTTGTAACGACAGAATTGTTTTCACTTTTCATTTTTAAAAAGTTAAAAAAAAAAAAATGAAAAAAAAAGGAAAAATAAAATATTCCTTATATAAATAAATAATGTATTAGTTAATGTAAATTATTATGTTCAAGATGTTTCTACATTTTTAAAAATTGATTGTTTTTTATGTTTACTTTTTTTTGTGAAGTATTTTAAAAAGTAAATTAAATTAATATTATAAAATATTAACCAAAAATGAAAAAGTCAAATTATTATTAAAACATAATAAGAATATTCAAATATTATTTAAAAAAAAAAAAAGGGTTATATTTCCTTTTCTTTATTATTCATCTTTTATTCGTAAATTTTTTTTTTTAAAACAAAAAAAAAAATATAATAACGAAATTTCATAATTAAAAAAAAATAAATATAGCATGCATCTTTTAAAAGATCATATTTTTTTTTTTCAATTGCTTTGTTTGTTACATTAGTATATTTCATATGAAAAAAAATTGAAGTTTATGTTGCCAATAATAGATATATATAAAAATATGAAGAAGAAAAATATAGTAGTATGAAATAAATAAACAAATAATCAAATAAAATAAAATAATATAATTAAAATATAATTAGATTTCCAAATAAATATTAAATAAAATGTTATGTGTAACTGTTCTAAATTCAATCAGTATATTCTATACTTATAAATTTTTTTAATTTAAATATTATATATAACAAAATAGTATAGAAAACAAAAAAAAAAAAAAATTCAGTAATGATTATTTTGGTTAAAATATAATTAAAAAAAAAAAGAAAAAAAAAAAAGCTAAAAAAGAAAAAGTGGATTGTTTCTGAGAAAAACATAACAAGACAAATTAAAACAACATAATTATATATATTTTTAAAAATTATATACACATATATATAATTAAAAATAAAATTTAGAATTTTCTTAAAACATTTAAAGGAATAATTTATGGAACAAAAAAATAAAAACAAAAAAAGAAGTATAAAAAAAAAGAAAAAAACCAAAAACAAAAACAAAAAAGCTATAATCTCTACATTGAAATATTCTATTAAAAAAAAAAAAAAAAAAAAATGCTTAAATTTAATAAAAAAGAGTAAAAATGAAAATATTAATCTAAAGTTAAATACAAATAACAGATTTATAAATTTTATATGGAGAAAATGATTAACATTTCAGAAATTTATTTAAAATGATTACAAATATATCATTTTAAATATGCTTAATAGTTGAGAATAAAAAATAATATATAATTTTAATTAATACAAAAAAATCAAAACATAAAAAAAGTATGTTCTATTTTTAAATATATATTATTTTCATTTTTTTAAACTTTTATTAAAAATTCGCTTTCATCTGTATCTTTATTTCTTGAACTATTTTTTTTTTTTTTGCTCTTAATGATATCATGTGATATTCGTAAGTCATCTAAACATAACTTTGCATCTAAATGAGCCAGATAATCTCCAACTGTCCACATAAAGCAAAAAGAAAAAAATATTAATAAATATACTAAGGAGCAAAAAAGCAAGCCTACCTTTTTATTTTGTACTATGAATTGCAAAAATTTAGAAGCTTTATGAATAGTTACTATATGAGGAAAGTTTAATATATCTATTAATAAGAATGTTATTAATATAGTCATTATGATATTATTTACTATTAATAGAACTACTGTCGATCTTATTGATGTAGCATTTTCTTTTATTACTCCGTGACATCCTACAGAGCAAATCAAAATTATTACTATTCCATATAACAAACATAAAATTAATAAATTATAAGTTCTCTTTTGTTTATATTCAATAAAGCCAAAAAACAACACTAAGAAGGAGTATATTAGTGGTATCAAATACAATATAAAAGCAGCTACTCTTGTTGATAAGAATTTAAAAGAACTCATTTTCTAAAATTATTAAATATTAAAAAAAAGATATATTCATAAAAAAAAAAAAAGATAATTTAATTTATTAATTAGTTTGAATTTAAATATATAATTTACGTAAAAATAAAAAAAATAAATAGAATAAAAATGGGTTCAAATCTATAGTTACATATATATATATATTAAAATATTATAAGAAATATTATAAGAAATATTATTAATTACTAAAAGTTTTATAAATATAAAAATGTTAATTATAACTAAATTTTACAATCATATAAAAAATAAAAATACTAATTTTATTAAAATCTTTTTTTTTTTATTATTCTTATAAATAAAGCTATGCTGTTCTAATTTTTATTATAGATAAGAAATTAAAAGACATAGAATTGATAAGAAGAAATTTTGAAAATATTTTATATATAAATAAATTAAACCATAAATTTAAAAAAAAAAAATAAATAAAATAGAAAAAGAGAAATAAAAAATCACTACTTTTTATTCTTTTATCTATATAATAATATATATTATTATAGATATTATTTTATGCATGTTGTACTTATTTTCATTTCTTTCAATTTTTTTTTAAATAAGTAAAATTTATATTTTTATTTCAAAAAAAAATAAAAATAAACTGTAAAATCTATTAAAAATCTATTTTTTTTTTTCTTTGTTCTATGTTGTAATAAAAATTAATAGGAAACTAATACTATTTTTTTATTTAAAATCATAAAAAATATGTATAGAACAAAAACAACATAAATTTATAGGCATTTTTATGTGCACATTCATCCACTGTTATATATAAATGTATGTAAATATATATTTATATATATATTTTTTTTTCTCTCTTATATTTTTCTAGTTTAATAAACATTTAAATATACAATTAAAAAAAATTAGACAAAATCTAAATAAATAATATATTGAAAATGTACAAATAAAGTTGAATTTTTTTTTTTTTTTTTTTTTTTTCTGTTTTACCATATTATTACAATTATTTTAGCTTTACAATTCCTTTATTTTTTAAATTTTCATTTTCATCTTTTTCAAAATTTACTTCCCTCAATCCAAATATCTATTTTTTTAAATTTCTAGTTTTTTTTTTTTTATTTATGTTTGTATTTTTTATTCATTTCTGAATGTATATATATTTCAAATATTACTGTATTCAGAAAAGTATTTTATAGAACTCACAAAATAAACTATATATATAAAACAATCTTTAGATTTAAAATAATTATGTTATTTTTTTTTTTTTTTATATGGAAAAAATTTTATATTTTTCTATTTTTTAAAAAAAGGAAGTTTTTTAATAAATATTTTAAAAGTTTAGTTTAAATATAGTAAGTTTAAGAAAAATAAAAAAAAAAAAATAAAATAATAAAACAATATCACTTACACAAATTTTTACATTAAAAATACTTTTTAAAGATAATAATACATAATGTAATTATTTTTTGGAAAATATGAATTTTTTTTTGATTGTATTTTATTATCCCATAATAATATATAAAAAAAAATTATATATTTAAAAATTATTTTAAATAATTAAAAATAACGTGCGCATAAAGTGCACATTTGCTTAATTATATCTATATTATAATGATTCATTTTATAAGTATGTATGAGTTATTATTATTATATTATTATGAAAATTACTTGTGAAATGAACTTTATTCTTAAAAACTAAATGACTTTTGCATTAAAATGATAATACGAATTTTTAAAAAAAATAAGAATAAAACAAACATTAGAAAATATATTTTCACATAATTTATTTAGACAGATGCATATAAATCCAAATGTTTTATTTTATTGTATTTCATTCTATATCTTTTTATTTCGTTTCATTAAAAAGAAATGAATTTAAATAAAACACAAAATTAGGTCTTCTTAATATATATATATATGTAACTTTTTCATTGAATCTTATCCTGTTTTTTTTTTTTTAATCATATAATAATTTATGGTATTCGGAAAATAAAATAGACATGAAAAAATTTATATATCATGCAGCTCATCTTCTTTATGTGTTTCTATAACACAATCTGATTTAGGATAACACGTACACAAAAGAATGTAATTTTGTTTTAACTGTTCTTCATCTAAATAACTTTGTTCATCATTATCAACTTTTCCTTCAATTAATTTAGCTGCACATGTTGAACAACTTCCACCTCTACAACTGTATGGTAACTCAACATTTTGCCTTTCGCTTGCATCTAATATATATTCATCTTCATTACATTCAATTTTCTTTTCTCCTTCATTAGTTCTTAATGTTATAGTATAAAATAATTTATTTTTTTCTTTAGAACTGAAAAACCTTTTTTTGTTACAGTAGGCATTTACGTTAGGTAAATATTTTTTATTTATAAAAAAGCATGATTCTTTATTATAATTAATTAACCCACTTAAGAATTTAGAACAAAAATAATTTTTTCGGTTTTTTATATAATTTTTATTACCAAACATATAATTAAAAGATATTTTGTTATTATTTAACTTATATGTATTACTATATTCTATACTAAATAGTAATATTAAAAATAGAATTGCTAAATTCATGATTTAAAAATTAACTACTTTTTCTTCTTCCTTCTTTTCTCTATATATAAAATTAAAAAAAAAATAGTGGTATCAATATATATATAGTGTTTTTCTTCAATTTTATTGTGTTGTAACAATACAATTTGTATCTCTTTTAATTTTAAGTGGTATAAAATTATTGTTTCTGAATTTATACTATTGTATTAAATTTTTTCTCTCATTAATTTTGATTTGAATAAAAAAAATTTTTTTAAAAAAAATTAAATTTTAATTCTTAAAATGTTATATCTATCATCAATTTAAAAATATGTAATTTTGTTTTCATCAATTTATTCTGAATGCATTCCTTTCATAAATATAAGATGTGGACATATTATAAACTATTGAATTATCAAATAAAAAAAAAAAAAATATATATTTTTCACATAATCACTTTTTTCCTCTTTATTAATATTATTTTTTTTAATACACAGCTTCACCTGTTTTTTTCAATAAAAAATATTCAAAAAAAAAACTTTGCAAATAATATAATCAAAAAATTTTATTATAATTATTTTTTACATCAAAACATATTTTTTCTTTTCTTCTTTATTTTTCCTTCTCATTAATATAGAATTAAAAGTAGTTAATTATATATATATAAAAAAAAAAAAAAAAAAAATTAAACAAAACTTTATTATTTAAGATCCTAAGGAACCATAATGAAATATCTACAAGTATTTTAAGTATTTAGATTCTTAAATTAAAAAAAATATTTAAAAAATAATAAAGTTTACATTCCACTGAGAAACATCGAAATAATGCCAAAAGTTATCTATTTTATAAAATAAACATTTATTTACATAACTGTATAAAGAAAATTAAAAAAAAAAAAAAAATTCAATTAAATTAAAATAATATATAAAACAAGTTTATAAAAAATAAAATACAAAATAAAATAAATAATAGCATTAAATTAATAATAAAAAAAAGAGAGAGTAATAACAGCACTAAAAATAAAAAAATATATCAATAAAAAAAAAAAAAAAAATAGAGATGCATTGAAAAATTTAGATAAAATTAAAACGTAGAAAAAAAGAGAAAAAGAAAATGGAAATAACGGATATTAAAAAGAAAGAAATTCTTACAAAATAACTTTATTGAAAAAAAAAGTTAATATTTATATACATATTTCAAAATATTAAAAAATTTCTGTAACAAAAATTTTATATGAGAAATAAATGTACCTTGTTATTATAACTTTTATTTTCTTTTTTCTTTATATATACTAAACAATGATAAAAATTAACAATCATATGTTAGCTATTCTGATTTTTCTTATTTTGGAGATAATATATGTTGAAAATCTGAAAAAAAAACCCTTTTATTTAAAAAATAATGATTTTCAATATATGACAAAAAGTTTTAACAAAAATGGACATGTAAAAGCATATTTATCAGATTTAAAAACTAATAATGTCAAAGTAAGCAATATTCTAAATGACAACTCATATGAAGAAGCTTATAAAATAATTTATGATAAATTGGAATTATTAAAAAAAGAAAATAGTGACAATATAGATAACATTAATACATTTGAGGGTTTTTTAGAAAAATATAAAGAAGAGATTAAAAAATATAAATCATGCTCACCACAAGTATTTTTGGAGATATTTTTAAAATATATTGAGGTATTTAAAAAATATAGATATTATTCTTTTCCCAATGTTCACAAATATGATGAGAGCTTGTATGAATGGTCATTAAAATTTTGGTCTCAATTAATAGATGAAAAAAATTCTAAATTTATGGGTATTGAAAATATTAAAAAAATAGAAAAATGGAAAGAAGAAGGCCATAATACAATTATATTTGGAAATCATCATATAGAAGCAGATGCAAATATAATAAAATATTTTTTTGATATTCATGGTTCTCAAAATATTTCAAGAAATATGATTTTTATTGGTGGCCATAAGATAAGAGTAGATCCTCTATCTAGACCTTTTAGTGTTGCGGCTAATTTACTTTGTATTTATTCTAAAAAGTACATTGAAAACCCTCCTCATTTAAAAGAGGAAAAAATTTTATTTAATCACAAATCTCTGAATGCTTTAAAAAATTTACTTAATGAAGGCAAACAGATTATATGGTTAGCACCAAGTGGGGGAAGGGATAGGAAAAGTTCTGACGGTAATATTAAAATTTCTCCTTTTGATCCAAAGATAATACAAACATTTAATATTTTTGCAAAAAGATCAAAAGTAAAAACTCATTTCGTAGGATTAGCATTATATACATACAATATATGCCCTCCACCAAACACAATTGATATTGACGAAATTGAGAAAACAAGATCATGCTCTTACACTTCTGTGAGTTTAAATTTAGGAGAAGATCTTTTTGATGTATATCCTAACATGAAGGACGAAGAAATAACCACAAATCTATATAATTATGTTAACAAATTATATAACCAAATACGATAATATAAAACTTGAAATAATTCTTTTGAAGAAAAAAGGAAACTAAGCATTAAAACTTAAAAGTAATATACAACAAAATATATAACTTTCTTTCATTTTATTATTATATTAAAATATGTATTTGTTTATTAATCTATAAACTTTTTTATATTTTTTAGTAAAGAAAATTTTTTATTTGATTTTTTTTTTTTTTTGTTTATTTTTTTTAATCTGTTTTAACTTTCATAGTGTCAAAATATGAAAAAAAGTGCATGCTATGCTCTCTCAAATGTTAATTTTTTTTTTTTTTTTTATACAAATATATATACAATGATTTATTTCCTTTTTTATTATTTCTTTAATGATATTATTTTTAAGAACATTTTTAAATTAATAAAATTAATAATAATATATAATACTTATAGAGTATGTCTTTTTTTTTTTTTTTCTTTTTTTTTTTATAAAAATAAAAATACTTCCTTTGTAATTCTTTTCCTTGTTATTAAAAATTTAATGGAACTTGTATATTTTACTATTTATGCTATTATGTAAAAATAGTGAAAATATCCATTTTATTTTTATTTTTCTCTCTTCCTCTTTGTAAAGTTTAAAAATGTGTTTTTAAATATATTCAAGAGAAATTTTGTAACATTTTTTTTTTTTTAGCTAGCCAAAAATTTTTGTATACATGTATATCAAAATATCTATATCAATGGAAATTTTTTTTAATGTTTTTTAAATGTTACAAATTATTCTCAGTTTTATGTAAAAAAATAATATAATATGAAAAGAATGTTCACCGATTTTATATAGTTTTTGAAGTAAGAATTTATTATTTTATTTTATTTATTTTTTTTTTTTTTTTTGTAGATAATGGCAAGTGCACATTATTTACTTTTTGTAACAGAAAGCTAATGAATTGTTCTTTCCACATTTTTTTATTTCGTTGTAACAGCGAATAAATAATTTCTCATACATACATAAAAAATATTTATAAAAATTTAATAAAAAATATTATATTATTAATTATTGGAATGTTCCTACTAGAATAAAACAAAAAAAAAAATTTGAAATATAAAAAATATTAATTTATACTTTTTTAATTGTTTGAAATTCATAAATAATAATTATCTTAAAAAAAATTGAAACTTTTACAACTGAAAACTATCCTATTTTTTTTTTGAAAATTAAAAACTATTAGAAGATGTAAATATTCCCTTAAATATTTATACTAAAGATAATTTTTAGTGTCTTAATTATTTTATAAAATTTAAGTGGTTTCTTTCCCTTCCCCCCCCAAAAAAAAAAAAAAGTAAAAAATAAAAAAAGTTAAATATATAAAAAATGAAAAAATTAAACACATTTTATCAATAAAAAACAATTTATATCATGAATATAAAACTAATTATATAATTTCTTAAGATGCAATTTATTATTTATTTTATCTCCTATTTATTTGCTTAAAGTTCATTTAAATATGTACCGTTTTTTTTTTTCATATTTTCTTAATTTTTAGAGCATTAATATTTAAAATAAAATTTAATTATATCTAGTTTCAGTTTTTAATATTTGTTTTAATTTTAGATATTCATATTTACTACTTTCGTCATAGACTTTTATTTTAATACTTTTAACATAATATATATATTTTTTTATATATATATTAAAAAAAATATTTAAGTTTTGAAGTGAAATTTATGATACTTTATTTATTTATATTACCTTTATAAATAAAAATACTATTTGTTTTTTTTGAACCATTTTATTCGATGTTGCTATTTCATGTAACTATGAAAAAATGGATTACTCTTAAGTATAAAATAAAATGATAATATAAAAAAACATTTTTCTTTATGTAAATTACAACTATTGATTTACTACATTATTTTCTATATAATAAATAATTCATTATAATAACATATTATGTTATATATATAAAAACAACTTTCTTTGAGAAAAGGAATAAAACAAATAATTGTAAAGATGCAGGAAAAATATAAAAAAGAAAGTCATAATAAAGAAGTTAATGAAGTTAAAAATAATGTGTTTAGTAACGAAATTAACAAGTCTAATTCACAGATAATAAATGAAAATCCATATGAACTTTGTGATCAACCTACAAAATATATAAATAATTGCAAAAATATTATCAAAACTAGTGAAAAAAATATATTATATACCGAAAAAAGTAATAATAGTGAAAAGAATAATTTATCAACTTATAGTGAAGAATCTGTAGACATATTAAAGTTCAATGAAAAAGATATATATAGTTCAGGTAATAATAATATAATACATAGCGAAAAAAATGGATTATCTAAAAAAAAAGATAAAATCTTAAAAAAAAATAATTCATCTCCTTGTTCTTTTAATGAGGAGATAAATTATATACCAAACACTGAAAAGAAAAATGGTTTTAATGAGAAGTTTAAAGTCACAAATAAAGTAAATAATAATGGTATGAAAATAACAAAAAACATAAATGAGATATTATATTATAAACAAAATTCAAATAATATAACTATGAAAAATGAAGATATAGAAAAAAAATTATCATTTAGTGAATTAATTAATGATAGTAAAGACAGAGAAATGAAGGAAATCAAAAATAAATATGACATTAATATAAAGAATGAAAATAATAGACAAAATGATGAAAATATAAAAAATAATGAAAATATGCAAAATGATGTGTATACATATACGGAAGAAAAAAAACAAAGTAACGCACTAATAAAAAAAAATAAGAATAAAAAAAATTCTATTACGATTAAAAAATATGAAAACACACATAATACTATAGTTAAAAATTATAGTAAAATAAAAAATAAAGAAAATATTAAAAAAGATCAAATAAAAGAAAAAACAAATAGCGCACGAAATGGTCACTTGTATTATTACCGTTTAAAAAAAAAAAAAAAAAAAAAAAATACAGATAGTTCATATGAAGTTTATGCTAATAATAATTTAGATATTAAAAATAATTATGATATTGAAAAAAATAAGATAAATATACAAAAAGAAAATACTACTCAATGTTTTAAATCATATAAAATAAATAATGAATTAAATGTATTAAATTCAAGAGAAAAAAATAGTGAAATTATAACAAGTTTCAAAAATTTTTCTAAAAATGCAAAAAAAGAAAATATATTTAATAGTGATAAAATAAAAAATAATAAAAAAAAAATTTTACACAGTAATACAACAAATTCCGATGATTTAAAAAATAAATCATCTGAAGAAATCATGATACAAAAAATTTTTATAAATGAAAGTGACACGAATGATAAAGTTCAAAAAAAGATACATCTTATAGAGCAAAATATGGAAAAAAAAGAAGATAAAACATCAAATAATAATATAAAAATAAAAGGAAAAATTATTTCAGAAAAAAAAAATGAAAAAGAAAAAGAAAATCTAGATTCAGAAATAGAATTATTTTCTGGTAATTCTTCTATTTTATCAAACGATTTTACAAAACTAGAAGAAAGAGAAAAAAATGTAAAAAATCTTACTTATAAAAATGAAAATAGTATTGATGAAAGCGATAGCATAATTTTTAACAAACATGAAAAAGAAGATATGGAAAACTTAAATATTATTTATGATTTTCCAATTGAAAGTGATACCAACGAGCAAAAAAAAGAATTAAACAAAAATGTAGTTCATACTAATGGAAAACTAAAAAAGAAAGATTCAATGAAAGATAAAGAATTAAAAAAATCCAACTCTAATTATTCAAAAGAGTTAATGGATATAAAAATATATGATGATTCAGAAATAGATGAAGTAAAAAACAATGAATTAGAGTCATTTTGGAATAATAATGAGGTATCATCTATTTTGAATGAGGTAAAGTATGATTCTCATAAATATTCAGATGAAGCTAATGATGAAACAGTAATATGGAATAGTGAAAATTATAATATCGTAGAAATTTCAAATAAAAAATTTCCATCTTACAAAAAAAAAAAAAAAATACGAGTGAAAAGATGTGAAAGTGATTCAACTAGTTATAAAAGAAAGAATGATATTATTCTCGAAAAAAAAAATTCAATTGATGATATTATAATATATGGTAATATGGGAAAAAATGATAGAGATACATGTAATCCTAGTTTAAATAACAATGAAAATTATGTAAATAAAAAAAACGACGAAGATATTAATATAGCAAGTAAATTGGATGTTATCAAATCTAAGTTAGCTTTAAATAACAATATAGATATAGATAGTGTAAATTTTGAATGTTTTGACATATATCAAATAAATTTTGAAAAATTAGGTTTAAATGTAGACAATTTAGACAAGGAAGAAAAATACATTTTAATGCTTTACATTTCAGAAAAAAAATTAGAATTTGTGTGGAATGAAAGAGAAGCATTTAAAAGAGCACATTCTAATATAAAAAATTTTCAAGCAAATCAAAATAAAATAAAAGGAATAAAAAATGAATGTACAAAAAGTGGCTTACTTAATGAAAATAATATAAATGATAACTTTAATAATAGAAAAAGTGATAAAAACAATAATAGGTTAACTGATATACAGTATTTTAAAATTAATAGTATTAATGACAAAAATGGATTTGAAAATAATAAAAATAATAAATTTTTTAAATTATTAACAGAAAATAAAAATGAAAATGAAATTTTAAAATTTAGTACTTCTGAATCATCGGATTTATCAATATATAAATCAACTAACGAGCAAAAAATTTTTCCTATTTCAGAATCAAATTTGTATAATAAAAATATATCATCTGAGGTACAGAATAATGATAATTTACCAAAATATGGATTTTTTTTCGATTTTTATCATAAATTATTAAAAAAATATAAAATTTTAAATAATATAGATAACTTTTCGAATGAAAAAGTTTTGTTAGAGAAATTTTTAAGAGGTTGTATATATTTATTTTTTCAAGATGAATATATTGACAATTTTTTAAAATATTATGAAGATATTAAAAAAGCAGAAAACAAAGAGGATATTATATTCAAAAAATTTCTATGTGTTGAATATATGTATAATAGTTTTCAAAATATATATCATAACAAAGAAAATGAAAAAAATGAGGAAATCATTCTTTTATCATTAAATTCTTCAGATATAATGAGAGAAATAATGAGTAAATTTATATTAAATGATAATTTAGTAAGTAAATTAAAACAAATACAAATTATAAATAAAATATTAAAAGATGAAGTTAGAACATATGCTATTAAAGTTGCAAATTATGATATTTATTTTGATGTAGAACAACATTTTATTGAAGAAGCTGAAAAAGTTGTAGTTGGTAAAGATATAGGATTTTTTAACATTTCTTTATTGGATAAAAATTATAAATATAATTATTATTTATATCAAGAGGAAGCAAAATTAAATGAACAAAATAAAAATTCAATTTGGAGTTATTTCGTTGACTATTTCAATGACCTATTTTACTGGAATAGTGATAAAAATGAAAATGATTTTCCTATACATGAACAAGGAGAAAAAAAAAATAAAGATATAAATTTATCAAAAAGGTTTTCTAGAAATTTTATGAAACTTAATGAGACTAAAGAAGAAAATAATAATTTTTCAGAACATAAGACAGAAAAAAAGAATTTTTTAAATAATTATGAAGAAAATAAAGATACTATAAAAAAGGAAGAAGAAAGGGACATCTCTTTAAATAATAATGAAGAAAATAAGGATATTCTAATAAATGAAATAAAAGACATTAATCCATTAAAAATAAAAGAAGAAATTAAAAAAAAATGTTTAGAATCTAAAAGTGAACCAACTAATTTAATAGAAAATCAAAAACTTTTAAGCAATTTAAATAAAAATGAAACAATATTAAGTAATTCTACTAATATAGAAGATTGCTTAATGGAAAGTAATATATCGAGCGTTGATAATTTCGTTTCAGAAAATTCTAATGTTATTAAATTAGATACTACTAATAATAATTTAGATAACAAAAATACGAATCATTTTAACAACGAAGAAGTAAAATATAGTGATGATAATGATAATACAATTATTAAAAATTATATAGATATCTCAAAAAGAAACTTATCTATCAAAAGTAATGATGATAAAAAATATCCAAACAATTTTGACTGTAAAAATGAAAATAGTCTAAAAGATAATCAAAACATTACAGAGAACAAAAATATGAAACATAAAAATAAGTTAGCACATTTAGTTGCATTTCAATATAGAGGATCCTTACCAAAAGATGAAATAAGTGATCTTAATAAAATGGATAAAAACTTAATAGGAAGCTACTTTTCATATAACTCTAATGATAATTTAATTGCTGTTCATATTAAAAATGAAAGTATTGAACAATTTTTAAATGCTCATTTCATAATAGAAAGATGTCGAAAGTATAATAAAGAAATAAAAAAGTCTTATGTACATATTTTGAATTCAAAAACAAAGCAATATTTGGCAGTAGATCTGGAAAATAAAAAAATTATTTTTACTAATAAATATGATGATATTTTTTATATAGATGAATTTGATGTAAAAAATAGAATATCTACATATTTTGAATTACAATCTATATCAGATATGATGAAAAATATTTTAATTGAAGATATTATACAAAGTGTTGCCAATATTATGTTAAATTAATAAATATAACAGAGATAAATAAACACATATATATATTTATATATATATATATATATATATATATATATATATATATATATATATACTCATATTTTTAGGTAGAAATAATATAATGAATAATATAAATTTATTAGGCTTTTTTTTTTTTTTTTTATCTCTTTTGGATTTCATAATAAATTAATTTTAATTTTTTATTTTAATTAATATTAAAAAACATATATTAATGAAATAAAAATATATTATTATTATTATTATTTCTATACTTTTATAAATAATTATTAAAATTACTTGTATTCTCTTTAGTGTTAATGCTACTTCATTACTAAAATATATAATTTAAATTGTTAATGTTAATAACTGTGTTAATTATTAATTCTTTTTTATTAACTTACCATTTTTTTTTTTACTTTAATTATCATTATTTTGCTCATTCATTTACTTTTTTAATGTTACTACATTTGTTACATTTATTGTCAATATATATGTTATTATTTTATCATCATTGTTTTATTTTTATTTAATCATTTTCTATTTAATATTTATTTTTTGCTTCAGTATTAATTTTATAAAAAATGTTTTTTATGTGTATTTAAATATATCATGCTAGTAAAAAACCTTAACCTTCTTTGAAGATATATATATATATGTATATAGTTTGCACATTTTATAAAAACTGAAAAAAAATAAAAAATTAGTTTTTTTTGTATTATAAATTTTCTTCTATAATTTTTCGATATTTTTTTTATTTTTTAGCTATATTTTAAAATAAATATAAAGAAATATTTTTAAAAAAAAATTGTTTTTTTCATAATGCAATAGCTAAATATATAAAGTAAAATATAAAAAAGAAACTATCCCTATAATTCTAAAAGGGGTATATAAAAATGGTAAATATAGATATTTTCATAAAGAAAAAAATTTATATCCATGAAAATATTAATCTTCATCAGACTCTTTTTCATGAATTGTAACTCTTCTTCTTTTAACTTCATTACTTTCTTTTTTATTTGTATTTTGTCTAATATCTAGAGAATGTCTATTAACTGTAGAAATACCATCAATAAATCTCATTTTAAATAAAACATCAGCGTGTGAAAACATGCCTTCTTTTAACGAAACAATAATAAATTGAGAATGAGGAAATTGTGTTCTTATCATATCTCCAATGTTCTGAGTATGATTTAAATCTAAAGCTGCATCAATTTCATCTAAAATATACATTGGAACTGTTCTAACTTTCAATAATGCTAAAATTAAAGAAAGTGCTAAAAGGCTTCTTTGCCCCCCACTTAATTCAGTTAGAGATTCTTTCCAATTATTGTTAAATGCAATCTAAAAAATTATATAAAGAATAAAAGAAAAAAAAAAAAAATAAAATAATAAAATAAAGGAAAAAATTGCCTAATCTATATAAACATCAAATAAAATATAAAAGTAGATAAGAAAAAAAAATAAATATGTAATATAAAAATAGAAATCTATAATATTTAATTTTCATATAAATATATAATTATTGTTGTTTTTATTATTAGTGCTATTATTATAATTTTATTATTATTTTATTTTATTTTATTTTATTTTTTTTTTTTTTTTACTTTCATTTCTATTCCATTGGATAAGTTTCCATCTATAACACATAATTTAGCTTGCGCATTATTAAGAAGAGTAGAAAAAATTGCTTGAAAATATTCATTAATTTGTTGATACATTGCTAATAAACTTTCACTTTTTTTTATGTCAAGATCAGCTATAACTTCCTGTATTTTTTTCTTATCTTCTTCTACTTGAGATTTTTTAGTTATTAAATCTTTATAATCTACTTGCACTTGTTCATACATTTGTATTGCTTTTCTATTAATATTTATAGATAATTTATTTTGTTCATTTTGTAATGCTTGTATTTTTTTTTTTATAACATCATGCCTAAAATTTTCAAAATCATAAGGAGTATATTTTTTATTAAATAATGGTTCATATGATTCTATCCATACATGAGTTTTATTTAAATATTTGACTGTGTCACTAGCTGTCTTTAATTCTCTTTGTAAATCAATTAAGCTATTTTCTAATTTTTTTAAATCTAACATATCTTCACTCTTTTTTTTTTCTAAATCTTCGATTGTCTTTATTATATGTTTAATTTCACTTTCATATGAACTAAAGCTTGCCTGAAGTTCTATTATTTTTGCTTCTACCTTTTTTAAATCCTCCTTTGTAATATTAATATTATTTTCTATTTCTTCTATTTTTTTTTCTATTTCCTTAATAGTTTCATCAACACTATTTAAATCATTATTTTCCTTTTCCATTTGTTTTTTATAATTTTCTATCTGTAAAAAGACATCATCTACCTCTTCTTTTTTTTTATGTTCTTCTAATTCTAATTCTTTTATTTTATTTTTTAACTTTTTTATACTTTTTTTTAAATCATCTTCTTTTTTATCTTTATTTGTTTCATATTCTGATATATCTTTTTCAATTTTTCGTATAACTTCGGTTAATTTTTTTTGTTTTTCATATAATTCAGTTAATTCTTTTCTTCCTTTTTCTATTTCTTCTTTATGCTCTTCTATTTTTTGATTCATATTTCCATATTTGCTCGTTTCTATTCTATTTTCAATATTACTTAAATTGTTTGTATAAATTTGTAATTCTTTCGAAAATTTTTTTCTTTTTTCTTCTTCTTTTTCTAAAACGATTAATTTTTCATTAATAATTTTTAATTGTTTTTCTTTTTCATTAAATTCTTTCTTTTTATTTTCATATTTTTCATAATTTAATAAAAATAAATTTACATTTTTATTAGACCCACCTGACATACTTCCCGATGTATCGAATTTATCTCCCTCTAAAGTAATAGTAGGATAAGATAATTTTCTATTTGTATTATACGTAATTTTTTTACATAAATCAACATTTGAACATATTAAAGTACCATTAAATAAATATTTAATAAGTTTTTCTAATTTTTTATCATATTCCATTATATCTAAAAAATAAATAACTTTTTTTTTGTCTTTTTCATCTAATCCCACGAATTTTCTGCATTCTTCAATATTTTTTTCATTTAAATCTCTAGAAATTATACAATCATCTAAAGGCAACAATGTGACTCTTTTACTACTCTTAGAAAAGTTATTGTATTCAAACAATTTTTTACTATTTTCTTTATTTAATACAAGTAAATATGATAACTTTCCTCCTAATATCAAATGAACTGCTAATGCAGTATTTCCATATTCCTTTTTAATTTTAATTAATTCATATATTTGTCCTAATATATCAGTTGGTTTCATATTACTAGGTATCTTATATTCTATTTTAATATTATTGACAATATTTTTCAATACTATTAATTCTTGTTTTATCTTTTCTATTTCATTTGTTAGTATATTTTTCTCCTCTTGTAATTTATCTAACTCTACAAAATTATTATATTTCTCATTTAATTTATTAATTTCTTTTTCACATAATATTTTTTTTTTTTCTTCCATTTCTTTTTCTTTATTTATTTCGTTAAACTCCTTTTCAAATTTCTTTCTTTGTTCTTTTAAAGTTATAATTTCTTTTTCAAGATGTTTACTATTTTGTAATAAATTGTTTATCTGAGTTTCTGTTTTGCTTAAATCTGTTTTATAATTTTTTAACTGTTCTCTAAAAGAACCAGTGTATTGATTGTTATTAATTCCTCCACTTAAAAGACAATTAAATGTACGTTGTTTCTCATTTAACTCTTCTTTTAAGACATCAATTTTCTTCTTTAGATCTTCATAAGATTTTAAATTTTTATTATTTTTTTCATCATTTTTTTGATAATCATCTAATTTCTTTTCTATATGCTTTATTTCTTTTTTTATATCTTCTTTTTTCTTCTTCTCTTTTTCCTTTTCTTTATTTTCTATTTTAGCTTCTGATTTCAAACTAGAAATTTTTTTTTCTAATTGTTCTTTTTCTTCTATAAGAAGCTTCATAGGTTCATTTGCTATAGTAGTTTCACTAACAATTTTTTCCCTTTCTTTTTTATATTTATTTATTTCTTTTTCAATATCTTTTATATCTTTTTCTAAATTTTTTTGTTCATTTTTAGAATCTTCAATTTTTTCTTGACATTTTTCCATCATATTTTTAGCTACATAATATTTATATGCAATTTCAACTTTTTCATATTTTTCAATTTCTTCATTATTACTCACAAATTTGTTATATTCTTCTTTTTCTTTTTTTAATTTTACTAGAGTAGGCTCTATTTCTTCTACTAGTACTTTATTTATTTCATTTAGTTTCTGATCCTTTTTTATCATTAACTTAATTGCATTAGTTCTTTTAACTTCATAAAGTTTTGTACCACTTGATTCTTCAATTAAACCAAGAAGTTCTATGGGTTTCATGTTAATAACTTTTGTGATTTTTCCTTGCATAATTAAAAAATGTGGATTATTAATATTTAATTTTAACGATTGAAAAAAGTCGCTTATATCTTTTGGTTTTGCATTATGACTATTTAAAAGGTATCTATTTCTTCCTCCTAATACTATTTGTCTAGTGATAGTAATATTTTTCATATCTCTATATGGTTCTTGTAGAGGACTAGGCTTTTCTTCATTGTTAAATTTAATGGTAACACTTCCTTTTGTTATTCCAGCTTGACCTTGTTTATAAATTAATTCATCCAGTCTATTTACTCGAATTAAATTTAGATTGTTAATTCCCATTACAAAACATATTGCATCTAAAACATTAGACTTACCGCTTCCATTTAAACCAGTTATTGCATTGAATTGAGGATGAAATGGCCCTATTACTGTTTTAGTAGGATAACTTTTGAACCCATCTAAAATTATCTCTTCTATATGCATTTTAAAAAAAAAAAAAAATTGACATAAATATTCTCCTTTTATTAACTTTTTCTTCTTCTTGAGGTAATTTTTTGAGTTACATATTATTTTATTTTATTATGTATTTTTTTTTTTTTTTTTTTTTTTTTTTTTTTTTTTTTTTTTTTTTTTTTTTTTTTACATCTTTTTATTATATTTTTCTATTATTCTTTTATTTTATATTTTTGTAATATATTTTTATTTAAATATTTTTATATTTTACTTTTTTTTCTGTTAATATTTTGTATTATGCTTTTTATTTTTTAAATTAAATATGAAATTTGTTCACAAACTATTTTTTTTCTATTATCTTTTTTATATGCTTTTCCAACTGAATTTGCTCATTTATTTTTTATATTTGTTCTCTTAATAACTTTTTGCCATTAATTTAAGAAAGTTGTAAATAAAAACTTAAATTACTTATGTTTGAAAAATTTATTAATAAAATTCTTATTATTTTAACTTTGTTGATATTAAAATATTTTGTCAAAATTTTATTTTACATTCAAATATAATAACAAATCAACATATATAAATGTATACATTTATACATATATTTATATTTCTAAATTTATAAGATATATATTTTTTTTTTTTTTTACTACACAGTTTTATAAAAATAATGAATATTAAATAATTTACATATTGTTTGTATAAGGTAAATTTTTTTTAGGGAAATTTGCACAGAAGACAAAATTAAAAAAATAAATTTTAAAAAAACTATAATAATTTATGTCTTTCTCTTTATTGTTCATTTGTTCATAGATAAAAAAAAAAAAAAAAAAAAAAAGATAATAATAAAAAGGGACTTTAGTTAAAATTTCACAATGTTTTTAATAGAAAATTTTATTTAGTTATTATGATAATACATATACTTCTTAAAGTAAAATTTTATAGTCATTATATCTATATATTTCATTTTTAACATACACATTTAACAGAAAATGTTTTGTTTTCCTTGAATTTTCATTCTTATTTTGAAAAACCCATAGTACTAAAAAATAAAATTATATATATAACGAAACATCATTTTTTAAAATTCTCTAAAAGTCTCAACCTTTTTAACTTATATATTTATTGAAAAATGAATTTTAACCATTTTAAAATTTATAAAGATTACTTCTTGTATTAAAAAATAAGATAAAAGAATAGGTAATATTTATAAAGCTTAATTTATATGTTTCTTGATTCTTATAGTTTGAATTTACATAATACATTTTTAAAATAAATTTTATGTTTTTAATTAAGTACTTTAAATATTATATTAACACAGATGAACTATTTAATATCTATATTATTTAAGAAAAATATATTATAAAAATATGTAGATTATTACTTTATTATGTATTTTAATAACGAAATATATATTTATGCCATCATGAATTTTTATAATACAATAAATTATTTTGAAATTAAAAATTAAAGTTTAGATAATTAGATAGTTTAACTCATTAATGTTATTTACTAAAATTAAAAAATTATAATTCAGTAAATATACAAAGAAAGTAAAAAAAAATGAATATAAAAAAAAAATATATATTTACTTAGAATTTATAGATATCATTAACACATGTTCAAATATCTAAAATGTAAATTATTTAATAATTTTTTAATTAAAAGAGTAATATTATGATTATAAGATATAAATTTGAAAAAATAAAAAAAAATTTATAATTTTTCTCTTTTTAGATATATATATATATATATATATATATATATATATATATATATATATAGCGATGAACTATTTATAAATATGGAACATTTAATTTTAGAAGAGAAATACAAAAATCTTTTGGTTAAAAATTAATACAAATTTAAAAAAATATATGTATATATAATAGTATATATTTTTGTTAAAAATTAAATATTATAGTGAATTGTCTTATTTTTTTTTTTTTTTATATATACATATATGTGTTTATATATGTTGAAAGAATAAATCTAATTATGAAAAAAAAATTCTTAAAAAAGAAACAGAAGCTCTTAAGAAAAAATTAGAGGTTCTTCAAAATAAAAAGAAAAAAAAAGAAAAAATAATATAAAAAAAGACATATATATATATATATATATATTTATTTTTATATCAAATAAGAATTTAGAATGTGCATATATAGAAATAGAAAATAAAACAACAGAAATTCTTAAAGAAAGAGAAAAACTTGAAGACAATATATATAAAATAAAAAATGAAAATTTAGATTTAAAAGAAGAAATTTCTACATTAAATGAAAGAGTAGAAGTAAATATTATTATTTACAAAATAGAAAAAACTTCTTGTTATATATAAAATATTATTTGAAATATTTTTTTTTTTAAGGATTTAAAAAATTTATCTAAAACATATAAAAAAATGATAAAAAGTAGAAATAAAGAACTGTTGCAATCAGAAAATCTAATAGCAGAAAATATTAACTTAAAAAATAATATAGAAGTAATTTTTTTTAAAAATTGTACATGATGAATATAGTAAATATTTTTCTTATACTTACGAACTTTTTAATTTACTTTTTTTTTTTTTTTTTTTTTTA